ATAATTTTTTTTTTCTTTGAAACAGAGTCTTGCTTTGTCGCCAGACTGGAGTGCAGTGGCACGATCTCGGCTCACTGGAAACTCCATCTTCCAGATTCAAGCAATTCTCCTGCCTCAGCTTCCCAGGTAGCTGAAACTACAGGTGCATGCCACCACACCCAGCTAATTTTTTGTATTTTTAGTAGAGACGGGGTTTCACCATGTTGGCCAGGATGGTCTTGATCTCTTGACCTCATGATCCACCCGCCTCGGCCTCCCAAAGTGGTGGGATTACAGGCTTGAGCCACTTGCCCGGCCCAATTTTGGTATTTTTTGTAGAGACAGGATTTCATCATATTGGCCAGGCTGGTCTCAAACTCCTGACCTCGTGATCCACCCACCTTGGCCTCCTAATGTGCTGGGATTACAGGTGTGAGCCCCTGTGTCTGACCTGAAAATTATTTTCTTTAAGAATGTTGTGTATTGGCCTCCACTCTGTTCTGGCTTGTAGGGTTTCCTCTGAGAGATCTGCCGTTAGTTTTATGGGCTTCCCTTTGTAGGTGACCTGGCCTTTCTCTCTGGCTGCCATTAATATTTTTTCCTTTATTTCAACCTTGGAGAATCTGATTATGTGTCTTAGGTTGATCTTCTCATGGAGTATCTTAGTGGGGTTCTCTGTATTTCCTGAATTTGAATGTTGGCCTGTCTTGCTGGGTTGAGGAAGTTCTCCTGGATAATATCCTGAAGTGTTTTCCAACTTGGTTCCATTCTCCCTGTCTCTTTCAGATACTCCAATCAGTCATAGGTCTTTTTACATAGTCCCATGTTTCTCAGTGGTTTTATTCATCCTTTTCATTCTTTTTTTCTCTGATCTTATCTGCCTGCCTTATTTCAGCAAGATGGTATTCCATCTCTGATATTCTTTCTTCCACTTGATTGATTTGGCTATTGATACTTGTGTATGCTTCACGAAGCTCTCGTGCTGTTTTTCAGTTCCATTAGGTCATTTATGTTCCTCCATAAACATATTCTAGTTAGCAGTTCCTGTATCCTTTTATCAAGGTTTTTAGCTTCTTTGCACTGGGGTAGAACATTCCCCTTTACCTAAGCAAAATTTGTTATTACCCACCTTCTGAAGCCTACTTCTGTCAGTTCATCCATCTCATCCTCCGTCCAGTTCCGTGCCATTGCTGAGCAGCTGCTGCAACCATTTGGAGGAGAAAGGCACTGCGGCCTGTTGTGTCTTCAGCGTTTGTTGCTGCTGTTGTTGATTCTTTCTCAACTTCATGAGTTTGTCTCATTTAGATCTTTGAGGCTGCTGACCCTTGGATAAGGCTTTTGTGGGGCTTTTTTTTTTTGTCGATGCTGTCGTCACTGCTTTCTGTTTGTTTTTCTTTCAGTAGTCAGGTCCCTCTTCTGTAGGGCTGCTGCAGTTTACGGGGGTTCACTTCAGGCCCTATTCATCTGGTTCGCTCTCCTGCATCTGAATATGTCACTTGAGGAGGCTGGAAAACAGTAAAGCTGGGTGTCTCCTCCTTCCTCTGGGATCTCTGACCTTGAGGGGCACTGAGCTGATGCCAGTAGAAACACTCCTGTATAGGGTGTCTGACAACTCCTCTTGGGGGCTCTCACCCAGTTGGGTAGCACGGGAAGCAGGACCCATTTAACCATGCGCTTTGGCTGTGCCTTGGTGGAGGGGATGTGCTGTGCTGGAGCCCACTCATCTGGGCTGCCCAGATTCCCTAGAGGTAGCAGGAGGAAAGACTAAATCTGCTGGTCCACAGAGACTGTGACTGTCTTTTTTTTTTTTTTTTTGAGACAGAATTTCACTCTTGTTGCCTAGGCTGGAGTGCTGGAGTGCAATGGTGTGATCTTGGCTCACAACAACCTCTACCTCCTGGGTTCAAGCAATTCTCCTGCCTCGGCCTCCCAAGTAGCTGGGCATGTGCCACTATGCCCGGCTAATTTTTTGTATTTTTAGTAGAGACAGAGCTTCTCCAAGTTGGTCAGGCTGGTCTTGAACTCCTGACCTCAGGTGATCCGCCCGCTTCGACCTCCCAAAGTGCTGGAATTACAGGCGTGAGCACAGCACCCGGCGAGACTGTCTTATTCTTTATTGCAGATTTTTTTCTTCAAGCTTTCCTCCAGGCAAGTCTCTAAACCACTGACGTGGAGCAGGTTTTATTGATCAGGCCTGACCCTGGGGCTCATATAGCAGCCATGTTAACTGGTCACCCTGATGCAGGCTGTGCTATGGGTCTGAATGTTTCCTTCCCTACAGGTGCGATTTAGTCTCCATGGCAGGGACACTGCCTTCATCTTTTTGTACCTCTCAGGGCTATTTTAAGGAGAGGAGTATTTGGCAACTTGAGCAAGAAAGACCGGCTACTTCAAATCACATCAAATATATGAAAACTCAGTTTTATTTCTAAATGCCTTGAAAACAGATTGATGACACCTTTTCATTTGAAAAGGACATCCACATTACAGGATTTTAAAAACAACTAATTTATGTCATTGACAAATGTTCTTTTGAGGTCCTGAAGGTGTACAGCAGAGCCCTCAACCAGATGGCTGGTAACTCTGCAGAATATCAACCTTATTTCCACTCTGGGTGTTTTGAATTTGACTAATTGCCAAAAATCTTCTTCTGATTAAGAGTTTTAAGTTTGCCTAGTGTCACCTTGGAGAAAACAGCTCTGTTCAATGAAGGAGCAGTGCCTTGGCCTTGATGTTCATATTCCTTAATGGAATATCACCTCTTGATACAGGGAAAAGAGGTTTTCAATAAATAACAAAATACCACAAAATTGTTGTAGCTGAGTTTATTGTATCATAATAACTGTATAGGAAAAAGTTTTAGCATCAACGTAAGAAATGGCGTTGTTATTGGGCTTTTTCTTTTTTTTGAAACATGACCTGACTTTGTCGCCCAGGCTGGAGTATAGTAATGTGAACTCAGCTCACTGCATCCTCCACCTCCTGGGCTCAAGGCATCCTCCCACCTCAGCCTCCCTAGTAGCTGGGACCACAGGCACGAACCACTTGTATTTTTTTTTTTTTTTTTTTGGTAGAGATGGGGTTTCATCATGTTACCTAGGCTAGTCTCGAACTCTGGGACTCAGGCGGTCCACCCACTTCAGCCTCCAAAAGTGCTGAGATTACAGGAATGAGCCACCATACCCAGCCAGCTCTGTTGTTTTTTAATAAACATTTTACTGTTTGTGGACAAACTTCACAAAAAGCTAAAAATTTTTGTAGAAAAACTTTAATACAAACTGCCCAATCTAATGTAAAATATAAAATGAAACTAGATTGTTATCAATGAATCTCTATTGTGCCTATCTCCTTATCAATGTGCCTAGACTCTTGTTCAGACCATCTGGCAAAAGGGCCACCTCTGTTATATCTTCCTGGGCCCCTCCCTCTGTGAAAGAAAAACATTAAAAATTATGCTATGACTGCAAAGACTAGCAATCAAAGCTGAATTCATTATTACTTGGATTTTTTTTTCTTGTAATTGTAAAATAAACTAACATGAAAACATTTTCTGGGCTCTAAAATGTACCGGGGGTCACCATCCCTGTGGCTTCTGGGCCTCGCCATTCCCTCAGCCCTGCTGGCCATGACAAAGTGGGGCACCCTGAGAAGCTGCTCTCCAGTGCTTGTCCTGAGCTCAGCCACCATCCTCCCCATGTGATTTTGAAAACAGAACAGAATTCACTCTCACTTCAGTTAAAAAGAAAAAGGGTTGCGGGAAGAAGTTCTGATTGTAAGTAGAGGGAACCAGCAAGCAACAAAGAGACCTGCAAAGACCATCCACAGGGAAACCAAAATGAAAGAAAAATAATTACATGTGTGAATATAAGGCAGGGACGCTTCTGCCCCACCTCCCCCCACCAAAAATACCATTATTCCAGAGAAGAGGGAGTGTCACTTTCTCTTGAGTCTTCATAAATTCTCTTCCATAATTGGGCGTGCACTCTCCATTACTTTATGCAGAATGAACAGAGCTGTCTGAGCAAACGCCAATAGGATATGGATTCAGGCAGGCAGCACATTCACACAGACAAGCTCGCAGCTTTTCCCTCTCTCTGTCCCGCTGGGGCAGCAATGTTCCTGGGCTTTTCAGGTTGGAAATAGAGAGAGAGGAGGGGGAAAAAGAGAATCACAAGTGAAAACTTTGAGAGGATGGGATTAGGAGATGGGTTGAGAAGAAAAACTGAGAGGAGTGAGTACAACACTAAGGAGAAGAAAAGATGACGATGAAGAAGGAATCAAGCTACTCATCTACTGGGCAGTGTTTGAAAAATATGTGTATAGGACATAAGGGTAATTTCATTTTTTAAATGCATCATATGTGTGTATTTTAGTTAAACATTTTTGTGAGACTGAAACACATGAATCTTGGCTTTTAAACTTCATAAGGGGAAAGTACAAGGTGCACTCAATCAGTAATTCCATTATATTTCTTCCAGAACAAGCTGGAAATGGTGGCTCATGCCTCTAATCCCAGAACCTTGGGAGGCTGAGGCAGGAGCATTCCTTGAGCCCTGGAGTTCAAGACCAACCTGGGCAACATAACAAGACCTCATCTCTACAAAAAAAGGATTAGCTACGCATGCTGGCATATGCTTGTGGTCCTAGCTACTTGGGAGGTTGAATTGTGAGGACTGCTCGAGTCCTATAGGTCAAGGTGCAGTGAGCCCTGAGTACCCCACTGCACTTCAGCCTGGGTGGCAGAGCAAGATCCTATCTCAAAAAACAAAACAAAGCAAAATCTTTGGAGGCAAACATAATGGAGACAGAATGTTGGCATATGTTATTTATTGCAATATTCATTATCAGTACGTGCCTGCAGGCGAAATTCTTAGCTATGTTTAAATAACTAAATGTTTACATTCATCACTTTGTTGCCTGGTGAAACAGAGGGCTTCAGGTAAGAAATAGTTGTGTAATAAACCTTCAGTTTCACTGAGCTTAAACTCATCTCATGAAGTTTTTCTGTCTTCTATTCAAAGGAACGACAGCGCTGCTTCCCTCATCCTTTTCAAGCAGACATAGTTCGACAAAGAGCAATCCTTACGAGACATCTCCTTCCGGTGAAACAACCACCTCATCCCATTCCAATGTGAGAAACACATTCTTGATGACATCACAGGTGCCAAAAATGACAACGCCCACAGACTCCACTCCAGGAAGCACAGAGGAAACATCAACAACTGGAAGTGAAAACACTGCCCTAGTCACCTCAGCAGGCTCGATAACAGCTACACTAGAGGGACAATCAACAGCAACTTCTTTAAGAACCTCTAATCAGGGAATATCAGCTTCATCTCAGAACCACCAGACTCATGGCACGGAGAGCACCAGAGAAGCTCAAACCAGCACCCTCACACAGGGAACTACATCAACTCCTTCCTCTTCCCCAGGTGTACTGAATGTGACAGGCACTGTTCCTCAGGAGACATCCCCTCCGGATGAAATGACCACCTCATTCCCCTTCAGTGTCAGCAACACACTCAAATTGACATCAAAGATTATGACAATGACCACCTTTGCAGAGTCCACTGTTAATAATACTGAGGAGACAATGCCTGTTACCGAAAGTCTTAGGCCAGTCACTTCAGCAGTCTCCATAAAAGGTGAGCCAGAAGGACAATCACCAGAAAATTCCTCAAGATCCACTCTCCAGGACACAAGGGCTTTTTCTCAGAACCGCCAGACTCAGAGCCTGGAGAGCAGCAGAGAATCTCTAACCGCCACCCTCACACAGATGCCCACATCCACTGTTTTTTACTCCCCAGGAGGACATAATGCGACATGGACTGTTCCTCAGGAGACATCTACTCCAGGGGAAACAACCACCTCATCACCCTCCAGTTTCAGCAACGCACCTGTGGTGACATCAAAGGGTACAACAATGACGACCTCCACAGACCCCACCCTTGGAAACACAGGGGAGACATCAACACCGCTTACTGGAAGTCTTATGCCAGTCACCTCAGCAGTCTCAATAACAGCTGGGCCAGAAGGACAATCACCAGCAACTTCCTTAAGGACCTCTACTCAGGACACCTCAGCTTTTTCTCAGAAACACCAGTCTCCGAGCACGGAGACCACTAGAGACGCTCAAAGCAGCACCCTCTCCCAGAGAACCATGTCAACTCTTTCCTCTTCCCCAAGTGTACTGAATGTGACAGACGCTGTTCCTCAGGAGACATCCCCTCCGGATGAAATGACCACCTCATTCCCCTTCAGTGTCAGCAACACACCCATAATGAAATCAAAGACTATAACAGTGACAACCCTCACAGAGTCCACTTCTAATATCACTGAGGAGACATCAACCCCTAGAACTAGAAGTCCCACTCCAGTCCCTTCAGCAGCCTCCATAACAGCTGAGCCAGAGGGACAATGGACAGCGGCTTCCTCGAGGATCTCTATCTGGGACACATCAGCTTCTTCTCAGAACTACCAGACTCAGAGCACAGAGACCACGAGGGAATCTCAAAGGAGCACCCTCACACAGATGATCACATCAACTCCTTCCTCCTCCCCAAGTGCACACAATGTGACAGGGACTGTTTCTCAGGACACATCTCCTCCAGGTGAAACAGCTGCCTCATCCCTCTCTAGTGTCACGAACATACCCGTGATGGTATCAAAGACTATAACAATGGCAGCCTCCACAGACTCCACTCTTGGAAACACAGCAGAGACATCAACTGCACTTCCTGAAAGTCTTATGCCCGTCACCTCAGCCTCCTCAGTAACAGCTGAGCCAGAAGGACAATCCACAGCAATTTCATCAAGGACCTCCACACCGGACACGTCGGCTTCTTCTCGCACGGAGACCACCAGAGAGTCTCAAACCGGCACCCGCCCACAGATGTCCACATCAACTCCTTCCTCCTCCCCGAGTACACACAATGTGACAGGGACTGTTCCTCAGGACACATCTCTTCCAGGTGAAACAGCTGCCTCATTCCTTTCTAGTGTCACGATGACATCAAGGATTATACCAATGACAACCTCCACAGACTCCACTGTTGGAAACGCAGGGGACACAGCAACACCACTTACTGGAAATCTGATGCCCGTCACCTCAGCCTCCTCAGTAACAGCTGAGCCAGAAGGACAATCCACAGCAATTTCATCAAGGACCTCTGCCTCGGACACTACAGGTTTTTCTCAGAACCACCAGAGCCAGAGCATGGAGACCACCATAGCGTCTGATACAGACACCCTCACACAGAGGCCTGTGTTAAGTCTTTCCTCTTCCCCAGGTGTACCCAAGGTGACAGGCACTGTTCCTCAGGAGACAGCCCCTCCAGATGAAATGACCACCTCATTCCCCTCCAGTGTCAGCAACACACTCATGATGACATCAGCAATGCCATCCTCCACAGACTCTACTCTTGGAAGCGCAGAGGAGACATCAACACCTGGAACTAAAATTCCTTCCGCAATCACCTCGCCAGCCTCCGTAACAGCTGAGCCAGAAGGGCCGTCACCAGCAACTGCCACAAGGTTCTCTACCCAGGACCCAGCAGCTTTTTCTCAGAGCCACCAGACTCAGAGCATGGAGTCCACCAGAGACTCTCAAACCAGTGTCCTCACACAGCGAACCACATCAACTCTTTCCCCTTCCCCAAGTGTACTCAATGTGACAGAGAGTGTGTCTTGGGAGACATCCCCTCCAGATGAAATGACCACCTCATCCCCATACGGTGTCACCAACACACCCATGATGACATCAAAGACTATAACAATGACAACATCTACTGAATCCACTCTTGGAAACCCAGAGGAGACATCAACACCTGGAACTAAAAGTTCTACCTCAGTGAGCTTAGCAGTGTCAATAACAGCTGAACCAGAAGGACACTCACAAACAACTTCTTCGAGGACCTCTATCCAGGACACATCAGCTTCCTCTCAGAACCACCAGATTCAGAGCACAGAGACCACTAGAGAGTCTCAAACCAGCACCTTCACACAGATGTCCACATCAACTCTTTCATCCTCCCCAAGTGTACACAATGTGGCCACAACAGTTTCTCAGGACACATTTCCTCCAGATGAAACAACTGCCTCATTCCTCTCTAGTGTCACGGACGCATCCACGGTGACATCAAAGGTTATAACAATGGCAGCCTCCACAGACACCACTCTTGGAAGCACAGCAGAGATATCAACACCACTTACTGGAGATCTTATGCGGGTCACCTCTGCAGCCTCAGTAACAGCTGAACCAGAAGGACAATCATCGGCAACTTTTCCAAGGTCCTCCAGCCAGGACACAACAGCTTTTTCTCAGAACCACCAGACTCAAAGCACGAACACCAGAGACTCTCAAATCAGCACCCTCACAGGAGTGCCAACATCAACTCTTTTAACTTCACCCAGTAGACACACTCTGACAGGAAGATATTCTCAGCAGACATCCCCTCCTGATGAAATGACCACCTCATCCCCCTCCAGTATCACCAACACACTCACGATGACATCAAGGGTTATAGCAAGGACAACCTCCACAGACTCCACTCTTGGAAACACAGGGGAGACATCCGTACCTGTTACAGGAAGTCTTATGCCAGTCACCTCAGTAGCCTCAATAACAGTCGAACCAGAAGGAGAATCCTCTGCAACTTTCTCAAGGACTTCTCAGTACACAACAGCTTTTCCTCAGAACCAGCAGACTCAGAGCGTGGGGACCACCAGAGGACCTCAGATCAACACCCTCACACTGGTTGCATCAACTGTTTTATCCTCACCAAGTGGACTCACTCTGAGTGGAACAGTTTCTCAGGAGACACTCCCTTATGCTGAAACAACCACTTCGTCCCCTTCCAGTGTCAGCAGCGCATTCCTGGTAACATCAGAGGTGTCCCGAATGCCAACCTCCGCAGCTTCTACTCTTGGAAACACAGAGGAGACAGCGCGATCTGTAAGGGGAACGACTTCTGCCATCACTTCTCAAGTTTCAACCAGATGGTGGTCAGACACCCTGTCAACAGCACTCTCCCCGAGTTCTTTACCTCCAAAACTACCCCCAGCTTTCCACACCCACCCGAGTGAGGGTGCAGAGACCACAGGACGGCCTCATGAAAGGAGCTCAGTCTCTCCAGGTGTGTCTCATGAGACGTTTACTCCACATGAAACAACACTGACTTCCAGCGAAGGCCTCACAACTTGGTTACCAAAAGAGCTGCCCTCAACACCAACAAGTGTTGCCACTATGCTGGTCACAGGAAGTCCATCTACGTGGACAACTGGCACTATTCCAGGAGTCCCTTCTGAGGTCTCAACAATAGGGGAACCAGGGCAGCCCACCACACGCCCCTCCCATAGCACAGCTCTCCCAGAAACAACAGGGGCAAGTGCCCAGACACAATGGACACAAGAAATGGGGACCACTGGAGAGGTTCTTGTCCACAGCCCAAGATACAGTGTGACCCAGATGACAAAAGCAGCCACATCGCCCCCTTCCTCACCGATGCTGGATGGACACACACCACCACAAAGTACAACGGCACCGTCAACATATCCTCCAACAACACACCCTGTGAGCACCTCTCCTCGGAGACCGTCGGCTGTTTCCCACAGAGGTCACACTCCAGCCTCGAAGACCACACGAGAATCCCAAACCACGAGGTCCGTCTCCCCCGTGACTGACAGCCTCAAGACAGCCACCACCCCAGCTTCTTCCTTCACAGCCAGCGGACACTCGCCCTCAGAAACTGTTCCTCAGGACGCATCCGCCGTCAGTGCAGCAACAACCTTCACCCCAGCCCCCTCCAGGGACGGTCACAGGCCCCAGGCCCCAGCCACAGCACCGCAGGCAGCACCCGGCAGCCCTGACGCCACCCTGGGGCCCTCAGGAGGCACATCGCTTTCCATCACAGGCACCATTCCTCCGGCCACCTCTGCGGTGTCAACACCAGTGGATGCAGAAGGACGATGGACATCAGCCTCTGCCAGCACGTCACCCAGCACAGCACCCGCTATGACCCAACCCCACCAGGCTCGGGGCACAGAGGCCTCCGGAGAAACACAGACCAGCCAACCGGCCTCCTCAGGGTCAGGCCCCATCCCAGCTGGCACAGCTACCCCTTCCTCATCCAGGACAAGTGGCACAACACCTTCAGGAAGCCACGGAATGTCCACCTCAGGGGAGACCACGCGGTTCTCACCAAGACCCTCCAGGGACACTCACATCCCCCAGTCAACAAGCGAATTGCCGTCCCCCTCAGCCAGTCCGGACGTCACTCGGGCAAGCACCATCCTGGCAAGCATGGGAACGGGGTCCCCCTCAGCCAGTCACGGTGCCAGCCCAGCAAGCGCAGGAACGGGGTCCCCCTCAGCCAGTCCTGACGCCACCCCAGCAAGTGCAGGAACGGGGTCCCCCTCAGACAGTCACGGTGCCAGCCCAGCAAGCGCGGGAACAGGGTCCCCCTCAGCCAGTCCTGACGTCACCCGGGCAAGCGCGGGAACGGGGTCCCCCTCAGACAGTCACAGTGCCACCCCAGCAAGCGCGGGAACGGGGTCCCCCTCAGCCAGTCACAGTGCCACCCCGGCAAGCGCGGGAACGGGGTCCCCCTCAGCCAGTCACAGTGCCACCCCGGCAAGCGCGGGAACGGGGTCCCCCTCAGACAGTCCTGACATCACCCTGGCAAGCGCGGGAACGGGGTCCCCCTCAGCCAGTCCTGACGCCACCCCGGCAAGCGCGGGAACGGGGTCCCCCTCAGCCAGTCACAGTGCCACCCCGGCAAGCGCGGGAACGGGGTCCCCCTCAGACAGTCCTGACGTCACCCGGGCAAGCGCGGGAACGGGGTCCCCCTCAGACAGTCCTGATGCCACCCCGGCAAGCGCGGGAACGGGGTCCCCCTCAGACAGTCCTGACGTCACCCTGGCAAGCGCGGGAACGGGGTCCCCCTCAGCCAGTCCTGATGCCACCCCGGCAAGCGCGGGAACGGGGTCCCCCTCAGACAGTCACAGTGCCACCCCAGCAAGCGCGGGAACGGGGTCCCCCTCAGCCAGTCACAGTGCCACCCCGGCAAGCGCGGGAACGGGGTCCCCCTCAGCCAGTCACAGTGCCACCCCGGCAAGCGCGGGAACGGGGTCCCCCTCAGACAGTCCTGACATCACCCTGGCAAGCGCGGGAACGGGGTCCCCCTCAGACAGTCCTGACGTCACCCTGGCAAGCGCGGGAACGGGGTCCCCCTCAGACAGTCCTGACGCCACCCTGGCAAGCGCGGGAACGGGGTCCCCCTCAGACAGTCACAGTGCCACCCCGGCAAGCGCGGGAACGGGGTCCCCCTCAGACAGTCCTGACGTCACCCTGGCAAGCGCGGGAACGGGGTCCCCCTCAGCCAGTCCTGATGCCACCCCGGCAAGCGTGGGAACGGGGTCCCCCTCAGCCAGTCCTGACTTCACCCCGGCAAGCGTGGGAACGGGGTCCCCCTCAGACAGTCCTGACGCCACCCCGGCAAGCGTGGGAACGGGGTCCCCCTCAGCCAGTCCTGACTTCACCCCGGCAAGCGTGGGAACGGGGTCCCCCTCAGACAGTCCTGACGCCACCCCGGCAAGCGTGGGAACGGGGTCCCCCTCAGACAGTCACGGTGCCACCCCGGCAAGTGCGGGAACGGGGTCCCCCTCAGCCAGTCCTGAAGCCACCCTGGCAAGCGCGGGAACGGGGTCCCCCTCAGCCAGTCCTGACGTCACCCCGGCAAGCGTGGGAACGGGGTCCCCCTCAGACAGTCCTGACGCCACCCCGGCAAGCGTGGGAACGGGGTCCCCCTCAGCCAGTCCTGACTTCACCCCGGCAAGCGTGGGAACGGGGTCCCCCTCAGACAGTCCTGACTTCACCCCGGCAAGCGTGGGAACGGGGTCCCCCTCAGACAGTCCTGACGCCACCCCGGCAAGTGCGGGAACGGGGTCCCCCTCAGCCAGTCCTGAAGCCACCCTGGCAAGCGCGGGAACGGGGTCCCCCTCAGCCAGTCCTGACGTCACCCCGGCAAGCGTGGGAACGGGGTCCCCCTCAGACAGTCACGGTGCCACCCCGGCAAGTGCGGGAACGGGGTCCCCCTCAGCCAGTCCTGACGTCACCCCGGCAAGCGTGGGAACGGGGTCCCCCTCAGCCAGTCCTGACACCACCCCGGCAAGCGTGGGAACGGGGTCCCCCTCAGACAGTCACGGTGCCACCCCGGCAAGTGCGGGAACGGGGTCCCCCTCAGACAGTCCTGACGTCACCCCGGCAAGCGTGGGAACGGGGTCCCCCTCAGCCAGTCCTGACACCACCCCGGCAAGTGCGGGAACGGGGTCCCCCTCAGACAGTCACAGTGCCACCCCGGCAAGCGTGGGAACGGGGTCCCCCTCAGCCAGTCACAGTGCCACCCCGGCAAGCGTGGGAACGGGGTCCCCCTCAGCCAGTCCTGACACCACCCCGGAAAGCGTGGGAACGGGGTCCCCCTCAGACAGTCACCGTGCCAGCCCGGCAAGCGCGGGAACGGAGTCCCCCTCAGCCAGTCCTGCGGCCACTCCCAGCCCCACCGCCCGGTCCACAGGCCACGCGGCCCCTCTTGCTGTCACCAGCACCGCCTCGGCACCCACAGTGTCCTCGGGCGCAGCTCGGAAGACGGAAGCACCTGGTAGCGGCCCCCTTCCTTGCCTTCGTCTCTCCCACTGACCCCCCTAGGTTCAATCCAGCCTGAGTGCTTGCCAGCACTGGTGAATTACCTGGTGGGGCCGGGTTAGGGCCCACAGAGGAGGAGGCGATGGGTGTGGGGGTGACAGGCCACCCTCCTCCCTGCCCCCGTAGAAAACTGCTTCTGTCACAGGCCGGGCATGGTGGCTCACGTCTGTAATCCCAGCACTTTGGGAGGCCAAGGCGGGTGGATCACGAGGTCAGGAGTTCGAGACCAACCTGGCCAACATGGTGAAACCCTGTCTCTACTAAAAATATAAACATTAGCAGGGCGTGGTGGTGGGCGCCTGTAATCCCAGCTACTCGGGAGGCTGAGGCAGGAGAAGCTTGAACCTGGAGGGCAGAGGGTACAGTGAGCGGAGATCGCACCATTGCACTCCAGCCTGGGTGACAGGGCAAGACTCCATCTCAAAGAGAAAAACCTCTTATGTGGAGAGTGCCTTGGACGTGACCAGTAGACAGATGGACAAGGAGGTTTCTAGCTCTCTTCCAGCTCCTGATTTCTCTGAATCTCTCTAACTCTGCTGTTCTACTGTAAGAGCCACCCCTGCCTTCTCTGTTCACATGTCCAGGAATGATGACACCCTCCCTGAAGACCGACACTGGGAGAAGCACGGCCGCATCACTGCCCCCAACAACCTCCCGAACCATCACCTCCGCCATTCCCAACACTTCCACAGACACCCGATCCACAGCTGCCCCCGTCCCCATCCCGTCTGAGAAAGGTGAGTCATGCTGTAGAGGTGTGCCCCATGCCTTTTGAGGGGTGACATAACTAAAGGTTGCTTCTCAGCCTGCTGGCCCATGGTCTCTGCGCTCTTGGGTGGGAAGGGCCTTACCGAGGACAGGGAGACAGCATCAGAGTCGCTGCTGAGGGCTGGCTTTGTGCCTGGAGCTAGAGACAGAGAAATGACCCTAGTGCCATTCAGCAAGGGGCAGATCACTATCTGGTAGAGGCAGTTAGAGGATTAATCCCAGGGCATAAGCACACACAATGGAAAACGCCTCAGGGCAGGGAGGAGGGCGGGAACAGCTGGAAGGAAGGTGTGGAAGGCATGGCAGGTCCTGCATGGGGAGGGGAGCCCCAAAGCATTTGGGGTTGCTGAAAATGAGAAGAAGAGGAGCAAAGTGCGGCTGGCATGCGGGAATCCTGGAGGTAAGGAGCGCCAGGGAGGACTCCTGCATTTTACAAATGGCACCCTGTGGCTGGAGTGGTCAGATTTGCAGGGTGAGGAGGCCAGGAAAGCCTGCGGGATTCCAGGCAGGACCAGGGGAGGGCGCCAAGGAGTCAGCAGCTGTGAGAATTGTTTGGGACAGGGTTTCTCAAACTGGAGCCTAAGGACCTCTAGGGCGGCCTAGGCTAAATTCGAGGGTCTTTAAGTTTCTCTGGAGAAATGCCATCTTAGGAAACAAGTCTCGTTTCCTGAAAAGGACTTGCAGTTTCTCATCTTCACTGTGTTCGGGACTACGGTAAGAGACAGAATCTGACAGCAGGACCTGTTTTTCTCCAAGCTGGGGAAGGATGCCAGGCACAGTGTAGGGAGTAAAATGACGGCGTGCGCTCAACGCGGGTGGAGAGGGAGCAAGAACCCTGGATGGCTGGCTGGCAGGGCCTCTGGGGCCATCAGGGTGGAGAGGGCAGGTGCGGGGCAGCGTGGGGGGGTCTCTGGGATCCCTTCCAGCCCAGGCCCACTTGGACGTCCTGCTCTTCTTTGTCCTGGCCCAGGAGTTTCCCTCCTCCCCTACGGGTCGGGCGCTGGGGACCTGGAGTTCGTCAGGAGGACTGTGGACTTCACCTCCCCACTCTTCAAGCCCCTGACTGGCTTTCCCCTCGGCTCTTCTCTCCGGGATTCTCTCTATGTGAGTTCACTGAGGCCGCACAGCCTGAGCTCCCTGGGCCCGCTTCTCTCTCCAGCTTCAGGATGGAACCCAGGAACTGGGAGTGGAAGCAGCCTTGGCTGGGCCTCTAGTTTCGTTCACCTCCACAGCCTTCTTACTGTCAGGCCTCTGGCCGAGTAACACGGGGAGCCAGGCGAAGGCTGCCCACCTGCAGGCCCGGCCCCCAGCTCACCGCTACTTCTGCGGGGCCTTCTTATGAGTAAAAAGCTAAGCTTGGGAAACTTGACTGTTCCTGTCGTTTCCATGTTCTGTGATTAGTCTCTGGCCCCCGGGTCTCTGTCTCCTGGAGCAGTTGGAAGGGCAGTCCTGGCTCCTGCACCCCACAGGGAGGAGGCTGAGAGGAATACACCATCAGAGGGCGACTCAATGATGGAGAGAGGGCTGCACCCCCCACGCCCCGAGGGATGAGCGATGGAGAGACACTCCACCCCCTGAGTGATGGGGAGAGAGCTCCACCCCCTGAGTGATAGAGAGAGATCTCCACCCACTGAGCAATGGAGAGAGACACTCCACCCCCTGAGTGATGGAGAGAGACACTCCACCCCCTGAGTGATGGAGAGAGATCTCCACCCCCTGAGTGATGGAGAGAGAGCTCCACACCCTGAGTGATGGAGAGAGATCTCCACCCCCTGAGAGATGGAGAGAGATCTCCACCCCGTGAGTGATGGAGAGAGAGCTCCACACCCTGAGAGATGGAGAGAGATCTCCACCCCCTGAGTGATGGAGAGAGACACTCCACCCCCTGAGTGATGGAGAGAGATCTCCACCCCCTGAGTGATGGAGAGAGATCTCCACCCACTGAGCGATGGAGAGAGACACTCCACCCCCTGAGTGATGGAGAGAGACACTCCACCCCCTGAGTGATGGAGAGAGACACTCCACCCCCTGAGTGATGGAGAGAGATCTCCACCCCTTGAGTGATGGAGAGAGATACTCCACCCCCTGAGAGATGGAGAGAGACACTCCACCCCCTGAGAGATGGAGAGAGACACTCCACCCCCTGAGTGATGGAGAGAGATCTCCACCCCCTGAGTGATGGAGAGAGAGCTCCACCCACTGAGAGATGGAGAGAGACACTCCATCCCCGGAGTGTTGGAGAGAGACACTCCATCCCCTGAGTGATGGAAAGAGAGCTCCACCCCCTGAGTGATGGAGAGAGAGAGCTCCACCCCCTGAGCGATGGAGAGAGATCTCCACCCCCTGAGTGATGGAGAGAGACACTCCATCCCCTGAGTGATGGAGAGAGAGGTCCACCCCCTGAGTGATGGAGAGGGATCTCCACCCACTGAGTGATGGAGAGAGAGAGCTCCACCCCCTGAGCAATGGAGAGAGATCTCCACCCCCTGAGTGATGGAGAGAGACACTCCATCCCCTGAGTGATGGAGAGAGAGCTCCACCCACTGAGAGATGGAGAGAGACACTCCATCCCCTGAGTGATGGAGAGAGAGGTCCACCCCCTGAGTGATGGAGAGGGATCTCCACCCACTGAGTGATGGAGAGAGAGAGCTCCACCCCCTGAGCGATTGAGACAGAGATCTCTACCCCCTGAGAGATGGAGAGACATCTCCACCCGCTGAGTGATGGAGAGAGAGAGAGAGATCTCCACCCCCCGAGAGATGGAGAGAGATCTCCACCCCCTGAACAATGGAGAGAAGTCTCCACCCCCTGAGCCATGGAGAGAGAGATCTCCACCCCCTGAGCCATGGAGAGAGAGATCTCCACCCTCTGAGTGATGGAGAGAGAGGTCTCCACCCCCTGAGCAATGGAAACAGAGATCTCCACCCCCTGAGTGATGGAGAGAAGGATTTCCACCCCATGAGTGATGGTGAGAGATCTTCACCCCATGACTGATGGAGAGAGGTTTCTACCCCTGAGAAATGGGGAGGGGGTCTCTACCCCCTGAGCCTCATCTGATGTGTCACAAGCTTCAGGATGGGGCCCAGAGGACTGGCCAAGAGAGGTGTGCCTGTGAGGGGGCTGGTCCACAGCCAGGGGTCTGTACTGAAGCAGGACCAAGCCTACCACCTGAGGACCCAAGGGATGGCCCATACGGAAAGATCTCTCCTGAAATCAGGACATAGGAGATGACTTCCAGGGGTTGTTAGTCTCTAAAGCTCCACCCAGAGAGGTCCCTGGGGGTCGGCTTCTGAGGAGCTGGGCCAAGGCTGGGGCGTTTCCTCCCCACCTCCCTCCCTGAATGCTCACACAAAACCCTTGTGCTCAGTTCACAGACAACGGCCAGATCATCTTCCCAGAGTCAGACTACCAGATTTTCTCCTACCCAAACCCGCTCCCAACAGGCTTCACAGGCTGGGAGACTGTGGCCCTGGTGGCTCCGTTCTGGGATGATGCTGATTTCTCCGACGGTCGAGGGACCGTATTTTACCGGGTGAGCCTCTCAAAGCCTGGCAGTCAGGATCCCCCAGCAGCTGGCAGGGGAGGCAAAGAGCTGTGTGGAAGGCTTTGTCAGAGTTACTGCTGCCACAGCCAGGAGGCTTAAATATGGCTGTGGAAGGAAGCAGGCAAGGGATATCAAGCTGACTCAGGAATACCCCAACCCAATCATGAGAAGACCTGCAGGTGTCGGGGTCGGGGCTAACAGTGCAGCATTTGATTGTGAAATCAGGCTGCAGGGTATTGATCCTAACAGGAGGGAGTCCAGTAGGGCCTGTCCTGGGCTCCTGGACTGGGTTAGTAACGCCAAGCAGGGGAAGCCTGTGACGAAAGCCACTGTGGCAAGCGTGGACTGTGCCCCTGCCACGGGCTCCAAGATGGAGAGAACCGCGTGGACTGTGCCCCTGCCACGGGCTCCAAGATGGAGAGAACCGCGTGGACTGTGCCCCTGCCACGGGCTCCAAGATGGAGAGAACCGCGTGGACTGTGCCCCTGCCACGGGCTCCAAGATGGAGAGAACCACGTGGACTGTGCCCCTGCCACGGGCTCCAAGATGGAGAGAACCGCGTGGACTGTGCCCCTGCCACGGGCTCCAAGATGGAGAGAACCATGTGGACTGTGCCCCTGCCACGGGCTCCAAGATGGAGAGAACCGCGTGGACTGTGCCCCTGCCACGGGCTCCAAGATGGAGAGAACCGCGTGGACTGTGCCCCTGCCACGGGCTCCAAGATGGAGAGAACCGCGTGGACTGTGCCCCTGCCACGGGCTCCAAGATGGAGAGAACCGTGTGGACTGTGCCCCTGCCACGGGCTCCAAGATGGAGAGAACCGCGTGGACTGTGCCCCTGCCACGGGCAGGGCAGTGTAAAGGCTCCAAGATGGAGAGAACCGCGTGGACTGTGCCCCTGCCATGGGCAGGGCAGTGTAAAGGCTCCGAGATGGAGAGAACCGTGTGGACTGTGCCCCTGCCACGGGCTCCAAGATGGAGAGAACCACGTGGACTGTGCCCCTGCCACGGGCTCCAAGATGGAGAGAACCGTGTGGACTGTGCCCCTGCCACGGGCTCCAAGATGGAGAGACCCGCGTGGACTGTGCCCCTGCCACGGGCAGGGCAGTGTAAAGGCTCCAAGATGGAGAGAACCGCGTGGACTGTGCCCCTGCCATGGGCAGGGCAGTGTAAAGGCTCCGAGATGGAGAGAACCGCGTGGACTGTGCCCCTGCCACGGGCTCCAAGATGGAGAGAACCGCGTGGACTGTGCCCCTGCCACGGGCTCCAAGATGGAGAGAACCACGTGGACTGTGCCCCTGCCACGGGCTCCAAGATGGAGAGAACCGTGTGGACTGTGCCCCTGCCACGGGCTCCAAGATGGAGAGAACCGCGTGGACTGTGCCCCTGCCACGGGCAGGGCAGTGTAAAGGCTCCAAGATGGAGAGAACCACGTGGACTGTGCCCCTGCCATGGGCAGGGCAGTGTAAAGGCTCCGAGATGGAGAGAACCGTGTGGACTGTGCCCCTGCCACGGGCTCCAAGATGGAGAGAACCGTGTGGACTGTGCCCCTGCCACGGGCAGAGCAGTGTAAAGGCTCCAAGATGGAGAGAACCACGTGGACTGTGCCCCTGCCACGGGCTCCAAGATGGAGAGAACCGTGTGGACTGTGCCCCTGCCACGGGCTCCAAGATGGAGAGAACCGTGTGGACTATGCCCTTGCCATGGGCAGGGCAGTGTAAAGGCTCCAAGATGGAGAGAACCGCGTGGACTGTGCCCCTGCCGTGGGCTCCAAGATGGAGAGAACCGCGCCTGTCCTCAAGCAGCTCAGATTAGGCATGGGAGGTGAAAGAGGGCCCGAGTGGCTCTGCCCTCTGGGACAGTTTGAGTTCAAGTCCAGAGGTCTTGGATGTCATGGCCAGGACCCTGCATCCCACATGCTGCAGGCCTTCCTGCAGCCCAGGTTTGAATTGAACTTCACTTCAGAAGAGCTCATGGTAAAAACGCAGGCCTGGGACAGGGGAGGGTAGGCCATGTGGGTGGGCTAAAGTGGGCAGGATCCCCAGGCAGAAGGAAGTCCATGGGTGGGAGTGGGACCCTCGTTGGCTTGTTCTCATCAGCTCTCCTTTCCTAGGAATATGAGACGCTCTACGGTGAACACAACCCACTAGTCCTGCAGGCTGAGTCTTGGATTAGAAAGATTACAAACAACGGGGACTACAAGGCCAGGTGGACCCTAAAGGTCACGTGGGTCAGTGCCCACGCCTATCCTGCCCAGTGGAGCCTCGGGGTGAGTAGATCCGTGGACAGCTCCCTGGGAACCATCTGGGAGTCAGACATCCTCAAATTCTAGGCAGAGGCTACTCTTCCGAAGCCCTCTCTGGCTCTAGGAAAGACTGCTAATTACAGCAAGCCCACCCCACCCTGCTTACCGCCACCACTGTTGGCCGAGCACTCACCGTGGCCTGCCTCGGCCCTTTGCCTATTTGACCTCTCAGCAAACCAGGTGTCATTAGGTTGAAACACAGTAGGTGGCATTTCTGTAAGTCAAAAATGTCTGGCTATTGGCAATTTCACGTGGCTCAATCTGGGATTCTTATCCACATTATAGGGTGGAGGCCGACCGTGGTCAGAGAGATTAATAACTTGCTCAGTCACGAAGCAGATGGCAGAGCCAGGCCTGCAGTGGAGGTTCTTCTGACTCCAGCCTCTGGCTCTTAAGCACAAAGCCATTCAGTTTTGACATGGGGCTCCTGGCGCCCTCCCCTCTGTCCTCCCTCTGCGGACCCCGCTCTTGTAGTCACAAAGTTCTTCCTCATGCCTGGCCTAAAGTCACTCATTTCTTCATTCACTCAACAGAAGTTCACCGGTCACCTCCGGCGGACAAGGCGTGTGCCTTCAGCAAACCCCAGTGTCACCTGAGCCAGTCATCCATGCTGTTCAGGTGGAGGGGACAATTTGGGCAATGTCCTTAAATGTCCCCCAGGCAGCTAATTAAGTCCCCTCTCGAGCTCTCTGGTATCTTGGCTCAGCGATCAGGTTCTGGTAGCTTCCTCTTATAAAGACTTATCTAACTGAATTATAACCCAGAACCCTTTATCTCCCCTCCTGGAAGATAGTCACAAAAAGGCAAATACACCGTGGTAAGTGCTTTCCCACCCAGGGTGATGCTGCCCTAGCTGACCAGAAACTTGCCCGCCTTTTGGGGCCCATGCCTTTGCTGTGGGCAGACCTGGAACAGGTGATGTGCACGTCAGAGCAGCGCTGTGGGACGGGTGGGAGGACGTAAGAGAGGAGACCCCGGTCACTCACCGGCATCCCTGTGTTTGCTCCCAGACCAACACCTACCAGGCCATCCTCTCCACGGACGGAAGCAGGTCCTATGCCCTGTTTCTCTACCAGAGCGGTGGGATGCAGTGGGACGCGGCCCGGCACGCAGGCAGCCCGGTGCTCATGGGCTTCTCCAGGTAGGATGGGAGGGGCTGTCCGCACTGAGCAGATGGCAAGAGGGGTGCAGAGCGGGGTTTCACTGCACACACATGCCCATCCTGGGCCGGGCATAAACCCACCTGGCTGATGCTTCTGACTCACTCTGGCTGCTGCTTCACATGAAAAGATCACCCATTTGTCCATCATTCCCTTTCCCATCTGAGTCCCCGTCATTGTAATAATTCCAGAGCTCTGGCTTCCCTGATTTCCGCTGACATCAGCTGGCCTCTCTTAACTTCTCAGATATCACGATAGCAACATGCAAGGCTGATTGCACTAACACTTCGTGGACATTGTTGCATTTGCTTCTCACGACCCCCCATGAGGCAGACACTATTTATTATCCACATTCTACGGATCGGGCCACTGAGCTACAAATAGACTAGCAATTTGCCTCAAGTCCCAGAGCTGGGAAGTGGCAACATGGAGGTTTGAACCCAGACGTCTGAGGCTAGAATCTGCCTTCCTGACTTCCTGAGAATTACTCACTCACCCAGGGGGCACCCGAAAGCTTAAACGAAGCCGGTGGTGAGGGGAGAGAAGAAGCAGGGGGCCGTGGGTGGTTGGAATGTGGATTCCCCTGTCTCGTGGAGGAGGCTCTCTCCGACGTGACGGTGCCCACTTCTGCTCCCTGCTTCTGTTCCCACAGGCTGGTGTGTGGCAGTCGGTGTGAAGGTCACATGTCTCTTGTTCTTGATCATTGCAGCGCATGTTCTTCCCTTACAACAAGTGTGTTCAGGTCACCCCTTTAGTCACACTGCTGTCGCTAGTTTTTGGTGTGCTATGAAGGAGTAAGGAGTGGAAGTGCCCAACTACCTGGGATGTCACATGGTCCACGTACGCCCGAGGAAGGTGCCACGCAGGGGTGCACCATCCCACTTGTGTCAGGGAGGAGGAAAAGCCCAGGCACCCAGGGTGGGGCTGCAGGCAGCCGTTCCGGGCTTTCCTCCTCCCCGAGCCGCGCTCAGACCCCACACCTGCAGACGGTGATGGAGATGGTGCTGGTGGTGGTGGCAGCAGCTGTTGTATTGAGGCCCCACTCAGTTCTGAGCGATTCGCAGGTGTTACTGCATTTAATCCCCACAATACTGCAAGGTAGGTGCTACTGTAATCCCTCTACACGACGTGAAAACTAAGACTCAGAGACGGTCAGTGTGGGGATCAGCAGTTGAATCCATCCCTGTCTAACTCCAGAGACTGGCTCTTAGCATCACAATACACTGTCCCTACAGACTTTCCCTCTCCAATCCCTCTGTTTAAGGGAAACAAACAGAAAGGAGGCCTGAACTCTGTTGTTTCCACACCCATCTCATGACCAAGCTGACCTGCCACTTCCTTGCAGCTGGTGATCAGATGTAGAATCGGTTAGAGCCTCCCACCTCTGCCCATCCATCTTGTCCCCTCTCCTGCTCAGTGCTGGGACTCAACAATGGGGGTCGGATGACCAGCTGACCCACTGACTGCCTAGCTGGTTGGCCAGCTGCTGACCAGCTAGCCGGAGTGAATGGTTGCCTTGCAACCAGGAGGCAAGGGCCTGTTCCTGGCAGAGGCCTGAGCATCTTTCCTTTGCCTGCAGCGGAGATGGCTATTTTGAAAACAGCCCACTGATGTCCCAGCCAGTGTGGGAGAAGTATCGCCCCGACAGGCTCCTGAATTCCAACTTAGGTAAAAGTGCCACCTTATCACACCTGAGCTGGTCTCAAGCCCTGGTTTGTCCTCCAGCCCATATGCCATCACAGTCCTAGAGGGCAGCTCCCGGGCATCACCACCATCTTGAAGGGTGTCCCCCACACAGTCCAACCTCCTACAGGTCTAAGTGGGACATGGCACTGCCCAGGGAGCAGCTGGCATCTTCTGCACCCCTGGACACAGCACAGTCTCAGAGGGGGCTACATCTCCTCCCTCGGATGTACCAACCCAAGAGGGCTCTCGGGGGGCCCAGCTCCTGGAAGTGAGGACAGGGCCTTGTGGGAGGTGGGATGTAAATGGGTAGAATGGCCAGTACTCCCAAGTGTCCTGTCCAGAGCTGGATTAAGAACACAGGGGGATCCCTTAAGAAAATCTACTGCTGGGAATGGACAGTACTCCCAAGTGTCCTGTCCAGAGCTGGAATGAGAACCCAGGGGAGATCCCTTAAGAAAATCTACTGCTGGGCAAGATGGTTCATGCCTGTAATCCCGGCACTTTGGGAGGTCGAGGTGGCAGATCACTTGAGGTCAGGAGTTCGAGACCAGCCTGGGCAACAGGGTGAAACCTGCTAAAAACACACAAATTAGCCAGGCGTTGTGGTGCACACCTGTAATCCCAGCTACTCAGCAGGCTGAGGCAGGACAATCTTTTGAACCTGGGAGAGGAGGTTGCAGTGAGCCGAGATCACATTACTGCACTCCAGCCTGGATGACAGAGCAGGACTCTATCTCAAAAAGAGAGAATCTACCAAGAGTCCAGAGGTCTGACATTCATTATCATCATTGATTGAGCACCTGCCGTGTGGTAGACACTATGCTAACAGCCAGAAACATTTTTAAAAGGAAAAAGACCAACTATGTTTGCTCTCAAAGAGCTTTCATGCAGGTAAAAGGGGCAAACGATGGCACCTGCTCCATGACTCTGTCACGTCCAGCGGCCGCAATGGGAAAGAAATCAGTTTCCAAAATGTGATAGGACAAGGACATTTTCACCCTGGCAGCAGCCCCGTGAGTTGCGAAGTGTAAATCCACTTCTATTTGTTCTCTGGCAACCACGTCTGGTAATCAGAAACAGGTGCTAAATCAGTGATGGGCACTGGGGGAGGAATCGTTGCCCGTCTGAATTGGGTCCCAACCCTTGAAGGTGTCCAAAGAGGTGAGAAGTGGCACGGGGGTGCATTTGTGAGTTTTCGTTGACCCTAAAGCTAAGACAGGGCCTCCAGCCCCAAGCCCTGGGATAAGCCCTTTTTTCCTCCCCATCCCCCAACCCCAGGCCTCCGAGGGCTGCAGTTCTACAGGCTACACAGGGAAGAAAGGCCCAACTACCGTCTCATGTGCCTGCAGTGGCTGAGGAGCCAGCCTCAGTGGCCCAGCTGGGGTTGGAACCAGGTCTCCTGCCCTTGTTCCTGGCAGCAGGGACGATGGGACTTACGATTCCGACCCGTCAGCATAGGTGACACTTCCTTCCTGTCCCCCACAAGCCCACCCACCATCCTCTCTGCTCATGCCCTCAGCCTCTTCCCAGAAACAACCCCCTGCTTGTTCCCGGCCCACCCCTGGCAGCCCCAGCCTGGGCCTGAGCACGACTGGACTTGTTTCAGGTCGGTGGGCCCCCGGCAGCAGGCAGCTCTGCAGCTTCACCTCCTGGCGAGGAGGCGTGTGCTGCAGCTACGGGCCCTGGGGAGAGCTTCGTGAAGGCTGGCACGTGCAGAGTCCTCGGCAGTTTGGTGGTGAGTCCTCTCAGCCCCACCTTCCCAGCCAAGCAGGGGATCCTCAGGATGAAGCCTCTGTCCTCATTCCCTTCCCAGACCCTTCCCCATCTGGGCCTCCATTTCCTGATCTTGTAAAGTTAGGAAGCTTCCAACATCCTCACCAGCTGACATTCGGGGATGAATGAGCTGAGTGCCTCTTTCCCCATCTCCACCTGGCCCCGTAGCCCCAGGCCAGAGTGGAGTCATCTTTCCAGGCAAGAAGAGAGCACATAGTCTGACCCTGTCCCTGTAGACCCAGATGAGCAGGCTGTTTGGGGGAAGACTGAGAGTCAGCTCCCATAGAGACCCTCCAACAGAGCTGGAGAACACAGGGACGAGGGGTCACGGTGGTCTGTGTCCTCTCGTTCTCTCACCCGTCCCATGGCAGTTTCCACAGTTCCTGGACTGTCAGCCGCACCCTCCCCACTCCCAGCATGTTGAGGGCGGTGGTTCTTGGCTCTCCACCCTCAAGAAAGGAAATGTGCTTAGCTCCTACCATGTGCTCTGCTGCACAGTCCCCCAATGCCTGCAAAAGAGACAGCGCCCTGTCCACCGCACAAGGTCAATGAGAAGGGCCATGCTGCATTCCAAAGCCATGCTCTTCAGCAACACCGTCCTGCCCTGCCACGCTCTCCAGCTGGGATCTCCAGGTCCTCGGCCTCCCCGACTCACTGCTCTTCTCCACAGCCCAGGAACTGGAGCCGCAGAGCTGGTGCTGCCGCTGGAATGACAAGCCCTACCTCTGTGCCCTGTACCAGCAGAGGCGGCCCCGAGTAGGCTGCGCTGCATACAGGCCACCACGGCCCGGTGAGGGTCAGGGCCAGGCTCAGGCAGAGCATCTGGGGAGGGGAGCTTCTGGGCCTCCGGGATGACGTCTGAATGAGGAGTAGGGGCAGAGCTGTGGCCACAAGGGAAAGATGGAGAGGGTGCCAGTGATGGGGCTGATGGCAAATGGAGGCCCTTTGTACCTGGTGCTGGAGAAGGAGTGAGAATGGGGGGCACGAAAGTGCAGGGGCCTTGAGGGGAGGATTCGATGAGAACATCTCCCCAGCTGGAGTCCACCTGGACAAGTGCCCTATCTGACTGCAGTGAGGAATCTCAGCCCAACCCATGGTGTGTCATGCTGATGTGGTATCTCTTTTTTCCTTCCAGCCTGGATGATCGGGGACCCCCACATCACCACCTTAGACGGTGTGAATTACACCTTCAATGGGCTGGGGGACTTCCTGCTGGTCCAGGCCCAGGACGGGAACTCCTCCTTCCAGCTGCAGGGCCGCACCGCCCAGACCGCCTCAGCCCAGGCCACCAACTTCGTTGCCTTTGCTGCTCAGTACCGCTCCAGCAGCCTGGGCCCCGTCACGGTTCGTGAGGGGCACCTGGGACCTCCTGCATTTCACCCACAGGCATTTCACCTTCAGCCGGATATTGAGGCCCAGGAGAAGGAAGAGGAGAAAGAAGGGGAAGCCGGGCAGGAGGGAGGGAGGTCACATTCCACCCTCACAGCTGTCCCCGAGTAAATCCTGGGGGTGGCAGGATGAGGTTTCTGGCACCACGGTTTCCCAGCTGTTTGGTTTCAAAGAAACTACTTAACTTGGTTTCTTCTAGTCGGAATGGGGATAATAACGTTACCTGCCTCACAGGCTGCTGTGGGAGTTGAAGGGGATCATCTGAAAACCAGGCCTGGTGCAGAGCACACAGTGGCTGCAGCCTCCAGCCCCTTCCTCCCAGCCCCAGGCACTCTCCCCTATGCTTTCCTGGGCATCTGCTGCACCTGCGGGTCGGCCTCAGCTCCCCTCCCATCTCCTTGCAGGTTCAGTGGCTCCTTGAGCCTCACGACAGAATCCGTGTTCTGCTTGACAACCAGAATGTGACGTTTGAGCCTGACCACGAAGACGATGGAGGTAGGGTGGGAGCAGGGTTGAGAGGGAGGCTGGGATGTAGGGTGGGAGGGGGGATGGGAGGTAGGGTGGGAGGGGAGCTGGGAGGGAGGCTGGGATGTAGGGTGGGAGGGGAGCTGGGAGGTAGGGTGGGAGGGAGGCTGGGATGTAGGGTGGGAGGGGAGCTGGGAGGTAGGGTGGGAGCGGGGTTGAGAGGGAGGCTGGGATGTAGGGTGGGAGGGGGGATGGGAGGTAGGGTGGGAGGGGGGCTGGGAGGGAGAGCTGGGAGGTAGGGTGGGAGGGGGGCTGGGAGGGAGAGCTGGGAGGTAGGGTGGGAGGGGAGATGGGAGGGAGAGCTGGGAGGTAGGGTGGAAGCGGGGTTGAGAGGGGGGCTGGGAGGTAGGGTGGGAAGGGGGATGGGAGGGCGACTCCGGCGTGGTGGCTGTCCTCTCCCGAGCCCCCCAGAAGCAGCGAGCTGCGCGGGGAGCCGAGTGCGGACAGCCTTTCCTGGGAGTCGGGCCTGAGCTCCGCGGCCTCCCTTCTCCCGCCTCCAGTGCGGAGCCCTCCGGGTGTCAGCCTCGGGGGAGGGAGGTGGTGTGGCCCGGCTGGAAGGTGTCTGGCAGGTCTGCGTGTCGGATCTGGTGTCCTTTCAGCTGCCTCCCTGTGTTCCAGGCCCAGAGACGGTCAGCGCCCCCGGAGTCCTCCTGAGCCACAGCGGCCACGAGGTCTCGGCCAGCTTCGACGGCTCTGCCACGGTCTCGGTGACGGCGCTCTCCAGCATCCTCCACGCCTCCGCCAGCCTCCCGCAGGAGTATTGGAACCTCACCGAGGGCCTCCTGGGTGAGGGCGGCTCAGACCTGCCTCTGTGGCTCTGCGGCAGCAGGAGGTCGATTCCCGAAGGCTTCCCTTTCCCGGCCTCCTCGGAGCAGAACCCTCGGGGCACGGAGCGGGCCTAGGGGAGGGACTTCTCCAGCCTCCGATAAGTCTCCCTTCCTGCCCTCCTCCCGCTCTAAGGGAGCATCAGGGGTGTGCTCCAGGGAGGCGGGGGTGGCGGCCGCTGCCGTCCTTCCTCCTTTCTTCTTGCCTCCCACATCCTTCCTGTCCTCCTGTATCTCTGCCAGTGTTTCCCGCCGACCCTCCCTAAGCAGAGGGGCAGCGCATGAAGGCCCGGTCCTCCGGGTTCCCCTGGAGGCCTGACAGCAGGTGCAAAGGCAGAGGCTGCCAGGTCCTGGCTGCTCCTCCCTGCATCCCCCGATGCTCGAGGGGAAGGGGACAGCCGAATGCCCAGCGTGGCCAACCTCCCACTCTGTCCCTCAGGGATCTGGAATAACAATCCGGAGGACGACTTCAGGATGCCCAATGGCTCCACCATTCCCCCAAGTAGCTCTGAGGCCACGCTTTTCCACTATGGAATGACCTGTGAGTCTGGGCAGAGTCCTGGGGCAGATAGGGCAGATGGGGCAGGCCAGGTAGAGGGGAGCTGGTATGTTTATGTCGTCTCCCTCGGGCCTGTAGGAAGCAGACCATCCTTCGTAAGGTCTGAGGAATCTATGCTATCCTAGGTCTGTCCCCTCCACTGCCATCCCACCTGTATCTCTACCTGGAGGAGAGAAGGGCGGGGTGGAGGGTCCTCTCATTGCAGCATGCGTTTCCAGACTCAAGCTGGAAACTGCTCTGGCTCTGCACTCCCACAGCCCCCCAAAGTGAGGGGTAGGGGTGGACACAGACAACATGAGGCTGAGTGCACACCTGATACACGACCATAGAGCCCTGTGTGTTACAGGGGAGATCAACGGGACAGGCCTCCTTGGCAAGAGGAATGACCAGCTGCCCTCCAACTTCACCCCTGTTTTCTATGACCAACTGCGAACAAACAGCTCCTCGGATCAAGATTTGATCTCCAGCTGCAACGGAGATAGATCCTGCATCTATGACGCCCTGGCCACGCGCAACACAAGCATTGGACATCACACGCTGGCGCTCCATAAAACCTACGAGCGGGTGAACGCCACCTTCAGTAAGTGGCCCAACGCCCCAGGAGGCCTTTTCAGAGCTGGGAGCTGTGAGGAGCAGCCTTCCCTGACCCTGCTGGACCCTGCGCAACTGCATTCACGGAGCAGATTCTTCCTCTGCTCAAATCCTCCACTGACTTCCCGGCTCTCTCCATCCTTACCGTGGCCTTAGGCCTGTTCAGTCTGGTCCCGCCGCTTCTTAGAGGTCTTCTCATGCTATACCCGCTCCCTGCTCCCTCCACTGCAGCCCCGCGGGCCCCTCTGTGTCCTTCAGACACACCAGGCTTCACACATGCTGTTCTCTCGCCTGGACAGTCACATGCTTGCCCCCTCCCCCTCACCTCCTTTATGCCAATGTCCCCTTCCCAGCGAGGCCTCTCTTGGCCACCCTAAAATGTCACATTCGCCCACACTTCCTGTTTGCCTTCCCCACTTCATTCTTCTCACCTTAGCATTTATAGTGACTCAGCATATTTTATACTTTTCACAGGTTTCTCTTTTATTATTCATTAACGACTGTATCCTCACTACGCAGACAGTGCCAGCCGCTTAGCTCAATATTTGTTAAATGCCCGAATGGATGGATGGGTGAACAAACTGTAATGGAAATGCCAGGGCTCCAAGAAACAGACCCATGAAAAGCTTCCCTCCCTCTGTATTTCTGGACAAATGCAATGTCCGTTTAGACATTCCCCTCCAGGTTTTCAGCCCTTTGCCAAAGGCACAACTCTGTGATGATCTAAACAAGCGTGCTCTGTAATTCACTTTTTGCCACACCCGGCATAGCACTGTGTTCAGGAAAGAATATGAAAGGAAACTCTTTTTGAGGAGGTGGGGGAGAGAAAGAGAGCTGAAGATTTGGATAGGTGGGCAGCACAGTCCCAGCCTGCTGTTCATCGGTCTGAGAGCAGGTACCCAGAATAGTTCCTTCTTCCAGAGGTGGGTCCCAGTCCTGGGAATGCCTCACGTATATTGTAGTTGAGAAGGAGAGGAGGCTGATGAAGCAGGAGACTGTCCCACCTCGGAACCCCCATCCCCTCTTTGTCTTTCAGATCAGTACCCACCCTCCATCGAGGGTCGCCATGTGGTTGAAGCCTACAAGGGGCAGACCGTGCTGATTCAGTACACCAGCAATGCTGAGAATGTCACCTTCATGCTCAGAGACAATTGTACTGACTTGAAGCTCTTCGGTAAGAATGTTTGACTGGGGAAAGTGGGGAGGTGGGTAGGGAATGAGGTCGGAATCAAACTTTGGGATTTCTGCATCGCTATACCCAGCAAAACTTCCTGTCACTTGCTCATTTGAATATCCAGGACTGGCATTTCTTTGGAATGATACCTATAACTCAAATAGGTGCCCCCCAAGCCAGGTGCAGTGACTCATGCCTGCAATACCCGCACTTTGGGAGGCTGAGGCAGGTGGATCACCTGAGGTCAGGAGTTTGAGACCAGCCTGGCCAACATAGTGAAACCCTGTCTCTACTAAAAATACAAAAATTAGCCAGACATGGTGGTACATGCCTGTAATCTCAGCTGCCCGGGAGGCTGAGACAGGAGAATCGCTTGAACCTGGGAAGCTGAGGTTATGGTGAGCCAAGATCACGCCATTGCACTCCAGCCTGGGCAACAAGAATGAAACTCCATCTCAAAAAAAAAAAAACAAAAAAACAAAAAAACAAAAAACAGGTGGCCCCCAGTAAGTAGTAATGACAGGCTTATGGTGAATTTGGCCAGATAGGTAGAGTGACTCTGGGCACATAGGACAGATTCAAGGCTGGGCACAGTGGCTCACACCTGTCCTCACACCTAGCACTTTGGGAGGCCACGGTGGGTGGATCACCTGAGGTCAGGAGTTTGAGACCAGCCTGGCCAACATGGTGAAAGCCCTTCTGTACTAAAAATATAAAAGATAGCCAGGCGTAGTGGCAGGCGCCTGTAATCCCAGTTACTTGGGAGGCTGAGGCAAGAGAATCACTTGAGCCCGGGAGGCAGATGTTGCCGTGAGCCGAGATCGAGTCACTGTACTCCAGCCTGAGCAACAGAGCAAGATTCTGTCTCAATAAAAAGGAACTAATTCAGAGATTATTTAATCTCAATCTGATCATATGCAGTCATCTTTAATTATCCTTATGCATTCACCAAATTATTAGAAAATCAAGTGCAACAGTTTAAAATTACCAGTTACAACATTTTTATATCTATTAAAGGAAGGATCTAATGTAGGAAAATTTAAAGAAATATAAAAATACTTTTGTTTACTACCTTTCTTGCTCTTTTTGTCTGTGGTAACCATGTTAACCTAGCTGTGTCTCTCCTCGTCTGGTTTCCTGGATAGGACCCAGTAAGGCGTCACGGGTCCCTCTCTGTAAAGGTGTTAGAGACTCCAAGACCTGCATCCATGATCAGGGCCAAAGGGTCTCAAAGAATAGGGGATGCCGCTCTCTGTCTGTTGCCAGCACTAATTCTGCGGTGGCTGTTCTTGGCTAAACCAAAGCCCCCAGGGAGCGTGTTCTGCGTTCCCTTTGCCTCAGGAGGGTGCCTGAGTTCCTTCCTCTCTGTGTGTCAGAAGGGACTGCTCTGCCTGCATCCCCTTTGCCCCCCGTGTGTCCTCCCAGGTGTAAGACAATGGCACTGGGAGATTTTCTGCTCCACCGGTCCACCCTTGAAGAATGAGGGTCTGGAAATTACATTCATCTGTGACTTCCTTTCAATCTGCTGTTTTAAGGAGACTTTCGTATTTTCTTGAAAAATATAAATTTGATCAGAAGATATATCGCTGGAGGGGCTGTCTGGTCAAAGGTCCAGGAAGTGGGGGTGGGTGAGAAATCAGGGAAAAGTATGGGACTGCCATGAGACTGAAACCAGTTTGACTGGCAGCATAGCCTGGGGAGGTGTCTGGAGGACCCTGGCCTTTATCCTGCATCCCCCAGGAGGTCCCATCCTAGTGCAAGCCCAGGCGGGGCTGCCCTTTGGGGTTTCTTCAGGGGGAAACTGCTTTCCCCTCTGTGGAGTCCCCTGCTACAGTCAGTAAGTTGGGCTGGTGCTACCTCCTTCCAGCTGGGAGTTTGACCAGTATTACCCCCGCATACCAGCCTTGCTCAAAGAAAATGACCAGTGAGATCTGTCTGGGGCAGGGGAGGGTGGTCTGAGAGTGGGGGGGAAGCCCGCATCAGCAATCAGGGTGTTAGATGCCAGGATGCATCAGACCACGGAGCAGAGGAGTCTCCCAGCTCTCAATGATCTCATTTTCCCCCGGGCAGAGAATGGGACATTGCTGTGGACACCCAAGTCACTGAAGCCATTCTCTCTGGAGATTCTAGCAAGAAGTGCCAAGACTGGCTTGTCGTCTGCACTCCAGCCCAGGACCATGGTCTGCTACTGCAGTGCAAAGAGCCAGTGTTTGTACAACCAGACCAGCAGGGTAGGCAGCTCCTCCCTTGAGGTGAGTGTTGGGAGGAGGGTGGTTAGTGTCTGTGCTAAGGGGTGAGGAAATGGGAGTTGAAGGGATGCCGTGTTTCTGCCTCTCCTGGGCGTGTCTGTGTTGGGAGGTGGGTGGAGCTATGGTAGATGAGTGGAGCGGATACCAGTCTTAGGTCATAAACTCACCTGGGAAGAAAGAGAACTTTTTTTTTGAGACAGAGTTTTGGTCTGGTTGCCCAGGCTGGAGTGCAGTGGTGCAATCAGCTCACTGCAACCTCCGCCTCCTGGGTTCAAGCGATTCTCCTGTCTCCCCTCTTGAGTAGCTGAGACTACAGGGCCCGCCACCAGGGAGATTCCCTGAGTCGTTTCAGTAAGGGAGTTAGAAAGGGGAGTCTGGGAGCTTGGTGAACCACGGCCTTTGCTGGGCTGTTGTTCTGGTTGCTGCATTTTCTTACGGTGCTTAGCAGGGAGGCTCTGTCTTCCTGGCTCGGGAGTCAGCAAAGGAGGTCAAAACTTCAGCTTATATGAAATCCAGTTTGCAGGCCACATGGGAGGCTGAGGCAGGCAGATTGCTTGAGCTCAGGACTTCGAGACCAGCCTGGGCAATATGACCAGACCCCATGTCTACTAAAAATCAAAAAATTAGCTGGGCATGGTGGCACGTGCCTGTAATCCCAGCTTTTCGGGAGGCTGAGGCACAAGAATTGCTTTAACTCGGGAGGTGGACGTTGCAGTGAGCCGATATTGAAACACTACACTCCAGCGGGGCAACAGAATGCGACTCTGTCTCATAAAAAAAAAAAGAAAAATACAAAAAGTGGGCATAATAGAGCATGCCTGTAGTCCTGGCCCCTCCCTAGTGGGAGGATGGGAGGCGGGAGGATAGCTTTTGAGCCTGGAGGCGGAGGTTGCAGTGAGCAGAGATCAAGACACTGCACTCCAACCTGGGTGACAGAGTGAGACCCTGTCTCAAAATAAATAAATAAATTAGGAATCCAGTTTTCAAGCAATAGTAGAACATGCATACATACATACACGTACACACTCATTTCATTCATGCATTCAGTCAATCATTCATTCATCCCCTGTCTTACTCTAGAAAGGATTTTAGGCAAGGAGCTAGAATGCGAGAGGGAAGAGGCTGAGCTCCTGGTGCAGGACCAGTCAGGGGGTCAGCATAAACAATGACCCAGGGAGGCCGGATGGGCAGCACTGCCGTGTGGCTTTAAACAGGGCCTTGCAGCCCCCAGGCACGGTCAAGACGGTGCTCAGTAGGTGCTGGAGGAACTAAGACATGACTCGGTCCCCGGGTTCTCAAGCCAGAGGGATCCGTCAGAAACACCCAGAAGCCCTTACTACTTTGGCTTCCTGGCTACCCTGTGATCAGCAACCCTTCTCCAGGTGGCTAGCTGCAAGTGTGACAGGGGCACCTTCGGCCACTACTGCGAGCGCTCTGCGGACGCCTGTGAGGAGCCATGCTTTCCAAATGTCAGCTGCGTTCCTGGGAAGGGCTGCGAGGCCTGCCCTCCAGACCTGACCGGGGATGGGCGGCACTGTGCCGGTGAGCTGGGAACAGGGCCTGGAGGAGGGACATCTGGGGACAGGTGGTAGCTCAAGTGTGGTGACAGCCACAGGTAGTCTCTTTCTCTCCCTTTTCCAGCAAGCCTTAGAATGCTCAGTCTAGGTCAGTATGGGAAATGTAGGTAGGCTTGAAAAGGGGGTGGTAGGTGGTGTGGGGCTGAAGGAAAAGAGGTTGTACAGGCACAGGGGAGGGGATAGCACTCAGCATCCCTGAGACATTAATGGGGAAAACCCCAGGCAAAAGACCGAAGATGATCTGGTGAAAAGAGGAGACTTCAGTGGCCCGCGAACCGGGAAAGCTGGGTCCTCGGGCTCTCTAGGCGTCTTCAGAGACACGGGGCCCAGGTCTCTGCATCTCACAAATCAGGACATTTGTGGGTGCTGGCACAGGGATCCAGCAGTAAAGGTGCCTCATTTTCCCTTTGAGTCCTCCCAGCCATCTGTCCCTCCCGCTGATGAGGGAGGTCACAGGGAGGCCTTTACCAAGCCCCCTAAGGCACCCAAATAAAATCTAGAGATCACTGTGTCTTCAGAGCCAAGGCCAGAGTGGGTGGAACTGCAGCTTCTATAAAGGCAGAAAAGGAGATGGAAGTGAGAGGGGAGAGTATGAGGAAAGCTGGCTGGGGACCCTCATCTGCCAGCCTTCCGGGTCCTTTCTGAAGCAGAGGGTCTGAGAAACACTCCACTCCTGCTGCAGAAGTGGACGAATGCCTGCCTGGCTGAGGAAGGGGTTTCCCTGCAGAAATGCCTGGAAAAGGGGAGAAGGAGTGGCCCACAGCAGAACACTGCGGGAAAGAAACCAGGCCTGTCCCAGAGCAGGTTTCCACCGGCTGCTGGGCTCTCCCTCTGCTGCCTGCTGCTGCTGCTGACCTCCCTGCTCCCTCTGCAGCTCTGGGCAGCTCTTCCCTCTGTCGGAACCAGTCCTGCCCTGTGAATTACTGCTACAATCAAGGCCACTGCTATATCTCTGAGGCTCTGGGCTGCCGGCCCTCGTGCACCTGCCCCCCAGCCTTCACCGATAGCCGCTGCCTCCTGGCTGGAAACAACTTCACTCCGACTGTCCGCCTAGGTACCACCAGATGCCCTGCCACCCTCACCATTGCACTCTTCCCACCTTTGGGGATGATGGGGAAGCTCTGGGACACAGCACAGAGCTCCAGGTTTCTCTGGGATGGGGTAAGGTGTGGGCTGCGGGAGCTGGCGAGGGCAGCTGTCACGGCAAGGACCGTGGGCCTGTGGACCTTCTGAGGAAGGGTGGAGGCAGAGACCTCATGGCTGGCTCAGGGAGAAGACAGTCAGGGAGGCCCTAACCACAACTGAATGAGCACTAGGGTGAGGGTCACTTGTACTGATTTCTTCAGTGACCTTCTGTCACTGTGGAATGGAGTAGTCTCCCTGGGCCGACCCAACAAACTTCTTGGGTAAGTATGGGTAAACCATGGGGTGCTGATGAATTTCCTTCTCCCATCTGTGTAAACCATGGGGTGATGATGAATTTCCTTCTCCCATCTCCAGAACCTCCCTTAAGAGTCATCCAGCTCTTGCTCAGCGAAGAGGAAAATGCCTCCATGGCAGACATCAACGCCTCGGTCAGTGCTGCAGGCTGCACTCTGGGCGGGAAGGAGAGCTTGGGGTTCAGGCTAGGGCTGAGCCATCCCTGGGCATCCCTCATCTTGTCACGCATCTGGATTCAATTATCAGAGGAGGCCGGAGCCTCTTCCATGGGAGGTGCAGGGGGTTAGGAAGTGAGGAAGGCCCAGGACAGAAACCTCAGAAGGGGTTGGAGTCACCAACTCATCATGAGCAGAGGCCAGGGTCCCAGGTCACCCTGGCCTCTCCCTCTAAGAATCTCTCAGGACCTGTACTTATTGGGTGTTATCTGGAAGAAAATAAAGGGCATTTCACCTCCAGGGAGTCTTCCCTGACTTCCCAAAGAGAAATGGGGGCTGCATGTTGGCTCCCATGCCACACCTCAGTCACCTCCAGGGAGTCTTCCCTGACTTCCCAGAGGGAATGAGGACTGCGTCTTGACTCCCATGCCACACCTCAGTCACCTCCAGGGAGTCTTCCCTGACTTCCCAGAGGGAATGAGGACTGCGTCTTGGCTCCCATGCCACACCTCAGTCACCTCCAGGGAGTCTTCCCTGACTTCCCAGAGGGAATGAGGACTGCGTCTTGGCTCCCATGCCACACCTCAGTCACCTCCAGGGAGTCTTCCCTGACTTCCCAAAGAGAACTGGGGGCTCCGTCTTGGCTCCCATGCCACACCTCAGTCACCTCCAGGGAGTCTTCCCTGACTTCCCAGAGGGAATGAGGGCTGCGTCTTGACTCCCATGCCACACCTCAGTCACCTCCAGGGAGTCTTCCCTGACTTCCCAAAGAGAAATGGGGGCTCCGTCTTGGCTCCCATGCCACACCTCAGTCACCTCCAGGGAGTCTTCCCTGACTTCCCAAAGAGAAATGGGGGCTCCGTCTTGGCTCCCATGCCACACCTCAGTCACCTCCAGGGAGTCTTCCCTGACTTCCCAAAGAGAACTGGGGGCTCCGTCTTGGCTCCCATGCCACACCTCAGTCACCTCCAGGGAGTCTTCCCTGACTTCCCAGACGGAATGAGGGCTGCGTCTTGACTCCCATGCCACACCTCAGTCACCTCCAGGGAGTCTTCCCTGACTTCCCAAAGAGAAATGGGGGCTCCGTCTTGGCTCCCATGCCACACCTCAGTCACCTCCAGGGAGTCTTCCCTGACTTCCCAAAGAGAAATGGGGGCTCCGTCTTGGCTCCCATGCCACACCTCAGTCACCTCCAGGGAGTCTTCCCTGACTTCCCAGAGGGAATGAGGGCTGCGTCTTGACTCCCATGCCACACCTCAGTCACCTCCAGGGAGTCTTCCCTGACTTCCCAGAGGGAATGAGGGCTGTGTCTTGACTCCCATGCCACACCTCAGTCACCTCCAGGGAGTCTTCCCTGACTTCCCAAAGAGAAATGGGGGCTGCGTCTTGGCTCCCATGCCACACCTCAGTCACCTCCAGGGAGTCTTCCCTGACTTCCCAGAGGGAATGAGGGCTGCGTCTTGGCTCCCATGCCACACCTCAGTCACCTCCAGGGAGTCTTCCCTGACTTCCCAGAGGGAATGAGGGCTGCGTCTTGACTCCCATGCCACACCTCAGTCACCTCCAGGGAGTCTTCCCTGACTTCCCAGAGGGAATGAGGGCTGCGTCTTGGCTCCCATGCCACACCTCAGTCACCTCCAGGGAGTCTTCCCTGACTTCCCAGAGGGAATGAGGGCTGCGTCTTGACTCCCATGCCACACCTCAGTCACCTCCAGGGAGTCTTCCCTGACTTCCCAGAGGGAATGAGGGCTGCGTCTTGACTCCCATGCCACACCTCAGTCACCTCCAGGGAGTCTTCCCTGACTTCCCAGAGGGAATGAGGGCTGCATGTTGGCTCCCATGCCACACCTCAGTCACCTCCAGGGAGTCTTCCCTGACTTCCCAGAGGGAATGAGGGCTGCGTGTTGGCTCTCATGCCACACCTCAGTCACCTCCAGGGAGTCTTCCCTGACTTCCCAGAGGGAATGAGGGCTGCGTGTTGGCTCCCATGCCACACCTCAGTCACCTCCAGGGAGTCTTCCCTGACTTCCCAGAGGGAATGAGGGCTGCGTGTTGGCTCCCGTGCCACACCTCAGTCACCTCCAGGGAGTCTTCCCTGACTTCCCAAAGAGAAATGGGGGCTCCGTCTTGGCTCCCATGCCACACCTCAGTCACCTCCAGGGAGTCTTCCCTGACTTCCCAGAGGGAATGGGGGCTGCGTGTTGGCTCCCATGCCACACCTCAGTCACCTCCAGGGAGTCTTCCCTGACTTCCCAGAGGGAATGAGGACTCCGTCTTGGCTCCCATGCCACACCTCAGTCACCTCCAGGGAGTCTTCCCTGACTTCCCAGAGGGAATGAGGGCTGCGTCTTGGCTCCCATGCCACACCTCAGTCACCTCCAGGGAGTCTTCCCTGACTTCCCAGAGGGAATGAGGACTGCGTCTTGACTCCCATGCCACACCTCAGTCACCTCCAGGGAGTCTTCCCTGACTTCCCAGAGGGAATGAGGGCTGCGTCTTGGCTCCCATGCCACACCTCAGTCACCTCCAGGGAGTCTTCCCTGACTTCCCAGAGGGAATGAGGGCTGCGTCTTGACTCCCATGCCACACCTCAGTCACCTCCAGGGAGTCTTCCCTGACTTCCCAGAGGGAATGAGGGCTGCGTCTTGGCTCCCATGCCACACCTCAGTCACCTCCAGGGAGTCTTCCCTGACTTCCCAGAGGGAATGAGGGCTGCGTCTTGACTCCCATGCCACACCTCAGTCACCTCCAGGGAGTCTTCCCTGACTTCCCAGAGGGAATGAGGGCTGCGTCTTGGCTCCCATGCCACACCTCAGTCACCTCCAGGGAGTCTTCCCTGACTTCCCAGAGGGAATGAGGGCTGCGTCTTGGCTCCCATGCCACACCTCAGTCACCTCCAGGGAGTCTTCCCTGACTTCCCAGAGGGAATGAGGGCTGCGTCTTGACTCCCATGCCACACCTCAGTCACCTCCAGGGAGTCTTCCCTGACTTCCCAGAGGGAATGAGGGCTGCGTCTTGGCTCCCATGCCACACCTCAGTCACCTCCAGGGAGTCTTCCCTGACTTCCCAGAGGGAATGAGGGCTGCGTCTTGGCTCCCATGCCACACCTCAGTCACCTCCAGGGAGTCTTCCCTGACTTCCCAAAGAGAACTGAGGGCTGCGTCTTGGCTCCCATGCCACACCTCAGTCACCTCCAGGGAGTCTTCCCTGACTTCCCAGAGGGAATGAGGGCTGCGTCTTGACTCCCATGCCACACCTCAGTCACCTCCAGGGAGTCTTCCCTGACTTCCCAGAGGGAATGAGGGCTGCGTGTTGGCTCCCATGCCACACCTCAGTCACCTCCAGGGAGTCTTCCCTGACTTCCCAGAGGGAACTGGGGGCTCCGTCTTGGCTCCCATGCCACACCTCAGTCACAGGCAAAGTAGCACAATTGCTGAGTTGTTACAGCTCTAGAATCCTGCACACCCAGATTCAAAACCCCTGCCCTGCCACTCACTAGAACAAGTGTACTAATTAGACACATTATAGAGCTGGTCATCTGTAAACACAGGGACAATATAGCACCTGAGTCAATAGGTTGTATCACCGTTTAAATGACAATGTGTGGCCGGGCCTGGTGGCTCAGGCCTGTAATCCCAGCACTTTGGGAGGCCAAGGCAGGCAGATCACGAGGTCAGGAACTCGAAACCAGCCTGGCCAACATGGTGAACCCCATTTCTACCAAAAATACAAAAATTAGCAGGGCACAGTGGTGTATGCCTGTAATCCCAGCTACTCAGGAGGCTGAGGCAGGAGAATCGCTTGAACCCAGGAGATGGAGGTTGCACTGAGCCGAGATCATGTCCCTGCACTGCAGCCTGGCAACAGAGCGAGACTCCATCTGAAAATAATATAACAATGCATGTAAAGCAGTATGGTGGCCGACACACAGGTATTCGAAAACTATTTTTGTTATTACTGCTGTTAGCGTGGCACTCCATGTAAAATCTGTTGCCATTTGTCACCTGCACCAGACTATGCACTCTGAATTTAGACTCCTCCTAAGTCACCTTGACACCTGCAGCACCTGACCAGCTCCTACTTCTGCCTAAACAATCGATGTCCAATATACTGGGGCAGGGGCCAAGAGTCGTGGACCAGAGGCAAGGAGGGGCCATGCACATCAGATTCTCCGCTTGTCATATGAGGCCTAGGATGGGGAGAGAATGGAAAACCCTCCCCTCACAAATATTAAACAAGGACCCGTGACCGTCACTGGACTAGGCTAGAGGGCGAGGATGCAGAGATAGGTGAGAAATGTATCCAGGTCCTGGGACTCACATTCAAGGAGGAAACAGGGGTGAATAAACGGATCAAGGCGGGAGAGGCTCTCCTCTGTGTATGGGGCCTCACCCACCCATGTCCCCATTCCCTCATCCTCTGCCCTAGGTGGCATACAGACTATGGGAGAGGCTCTCCTGTCTGTATGGGGCCTCACCCACCCATGCCCCCATTCCCTCATCCTCTGCCCTAGCTGGCATACAGACTATGGGAGAGGCTCTCCTCTCTGTATGGGGCCTCACCCACCCATGCCCCCATTCCCTCATCCTCTGCCCTAGGTGGCATACAGACTATGTGAGAGGCTCTCCTCTCTGTATGGGGCCTCACCCACCCATGCCCCCATTCCCTCATCCTCTGCCCTAGGTGGCATACAGACTGTGGGAGAGGCTCTCCTCTCTGTATGGGGCCTCACCCACCCATGCCCCCATTCCCTCATCCTCTGCCCTAGGTGGCGTACAGACTGCGGACCCTGCACGGGCAGGCCTTTCTCTACAACAGCGAAGTGAACCGAATGTAAGTGGGACGGTGACCCCTGAGCCCCCACGTCTTCTTCCTCACCGGCCCCCAGCCCCCCTCACCGTTGCCCTCCCATACAGCGATTCCCCAGCACCAGCCTCAGGAAGCCCCATGCAATACTGGACGGTCATGTCGCAGTTCCAGTACCGCCCTTGGGGCCCTGTCATCCACTTCCTGAACAACCAGCTGCTGGCCGCGGTGGTGGAGGCGTTCTTACACCAGCATGTTCCCCGGAGGAGTGAGGAGCCCAGGAACGACGTGGTCTTCCAGCCCCTCTCCAGGGAAGACGTGCGCGATGTGGCGGCCTGTGAGTCAGTCCATCCCGGGGACAGTGTGGGGTGACTGGGGGGGGCGGGTAAACCGAGGGTGCTTCAGCCCACACATGCAAGTTAATTTAGTTTTTCTTTGTTTGATTCTGAGAGAAAACGTGAACATTTTATCCATCCGCTTTTTAGATTCAAGAGCAGGAAGTGCTGCTAAGGCAGCCACGTGCCTGCGGTTTCACAGAGCGAGTGCTCCGGCCCAGCCTTGCTGACTGCCGCTGCTCAGGAAACAGCAGCAATTTGTTTTCATAAAATTGCTACTGGTTTTCTGAAAGTGCCATTGCACTTAAACCTACACAAGGGCATTCCCGTCATCTCTGCCCTCCAGCTGGTGGGTGTGAAGCTGGAGACTGGCCCGGAAATGATCTGCAAGCACCTTCCCCAGGCCTCACACCCCCACCTGAAAATGAGGTGGGATTTCTGAGCCCCGTTTCAGTGCTGACAGCCCAGCCCCTGTTCTCCCAGAACAGGAATGAGTTGGCAAGCTTGTCAGAGAAAGAAAAGAATAACGCACCCTATTTTCTGGATGGGGCAGAGAATAGAGCAGCGGCCATCCCAAACACAACAGAAACTGCTGTTTTACTCGGGTCCAGGAGCAAGCAAGAGCTTCTTCTAGAATCCAGGTTAAGCCCCCTCTCTCCTGGAGGAACAAGATGAAATCCCTTAGAACTGCTGTATGTTGGCGAGCTGGGGTAGCTCTGACTCTTCACGAAAACCTTGGCTGGGCACGGAGGCTCACGCCTGCAATCCCAGCACTTCGGGAGGCTAAGGCGAGTGGATCACCTGAGGTCAGGAGTTCGAGACCAGCCTGGCCAACATGGTGAAGCCCTGTCTCTAGTAAGAATACAAAAATTAGCCGGGCATGGTGGCATGCAGCTATAATCCCAGCTACTCAGGAGGCTGAGGCAAGAGAGTAACTTGAACCTGGGAGGCAAAGGTTGCAGTGAGCTGAAATTGTGCCACTGAACTCCAACCTGGCGACAGAGTGAGACTGTCTCAAAAAGAAAAAAAGACAACCTGTAATTTGTCTTTTCTTGAGACAGAGTTTCCCTCATCACCCAGGCTGGAGTGAAGTGGTGTGATCTTGGCTCACTGCAAACTCCACCCCCAGGTCCAAGTGATTCCCCTGCCTCAGCCTCCTGAGCAGCTGGAATTATAGGTGCCCACCACCACGCCCAGCTAATTTTTGTATTTTTAGTAGAGACTGGGTTTTACCATGTTGGCCAGGCTGGTCTTGAACTCCTGACCTCAGGTGATCCACCCTCCTTGGCCTCCTCTAGGATTACAGGCATGAGTCACGTGCCCAGCTGAAAACCTAAAATTTTTGTTATATAAGTATCATATGTTTACTGCAGAAACTGTAGGAAACAAACATTTAACAAAAAGAAGAGAGAAGAAAGAAAAACCTGTAATTCCCGTGCCCAGAGACAATATTTTGTGCATTTCCTTCTGAGCTTTCTTTTATGCCGAGGAACCTTCACACGGTGGCTTTTTACTGAAGGATCAAATCGTTCCTAATGTTTGGTAACCTCCTTCTTCAACAGTTGTGAACAGAGAATCTCATGTGCTGTGTCCATGTTCCCATTTCACATATTGCTTTATAATACATTTGAATATAGTGTCACATTTTAAAATACGTTATAATAACCATTTTCGTTTTTTGAGGGTTTACTGTGTGTCAGGCAGTGTACGGAGTATTGTGGACACGTTATCTCATTTAAATCTCACAGCAGCGTAAGTTCCTGTGCTTTTAGACATAAGGAAACTGAAGCTGCAGAGATAAGGAGTGTTCCCTGAATTACACAACTAGCTACCAGTGAGTTTGAGTTTCAACTCAGGTCTGGCCACCTTCAAAGCATTTCCATAGGAAACTGGCATCCCTTGGTAACGATCCGCAGTAGTTCATTTAACCAGACCCCACTTCTGAAACATTGTTGCATTTCCACCATGCTGATCCGAATGCCCAGGGACATACGTATCGTGCACTTCTCTAGTCGTTTCTCAGGAGGATTTTGTGTCCATCGGTTGCTTTCTGTGTTCACCTGTGTTCTTCCTGACAGTGAACGTGAGCATGCTGAGGACTTACTTCAAATGCAGTGGCTACGAGGGCTACAACCTGGTTTACGGCCCCCAGAGCGGCTTCACCTGTGTGTCCCCGTGCAGTAGGGGCTACTGTGACCACGGAGGCCAGTGCCAGCACCTGCCCAGTGGGCCCCGCTGCAGGTGCGTAGGGCCACGGCCAGGAGGCGGATGAGTGCTGGGGAACCCAAACTGGGCAAGACCCTGCAAAGGCCCAGGAATTAGGATGGCTCCCTTTGAGATTGGAGAGAAACCAGAGACCAGGGAAGAGGGGACAGTGGAAGAAAGGAGGGTTGTGAGTGCCTGCTCTGTGTGGAGAATAAGGGCGCTATATTACCTCTGAGGCCCAAAGGAGCCACAGTTGGGTATTTAGAACCATTTCGAAGATGAGAAAATGGCAGCTGAGAGATAAGGAAACTGCCCCGGCACCCAGTCGGTTAAAAGCAGGGTATGGTTTCCAAAGCCGAACTTTTTTATTTTTTATTTGAGACTGAGTATCTCTCTGTTACCCAGGCTGGAGTGCAGTGGTGCATTCTCAGCTCAAAGCAACCTCTGCCTCCCGGGTTCAAGCGATTCTCCTGCCTCCACCTCCCCAGTAGCTGGGATGATAGGTGCATGCCACCACACCTGGCTAACTTTTGTATTTTTAGTAGAGACGGGGGTTTCACCATATTGGTTCAGGCTGGTCTTGAACTCCCAACCTCAGGTGATCCACCCGCCTTGGCCTCCCAAAGTGCTGGGATTACAGGTGGGAACCACCATGCCCAGCCTAGACCCACATTTTAAAGCCCACACCTGCCTCCTTTGCCCAATGGTCTCTTCAGCATGACCTCAGGGCTGACTCAGTCTCTCTCTCCAGAGAGTGGGGCGAGCCCAGCCTCTCCTAGAGAACCTCCTCTGCCCCAGCAGGAGAAGAGAGGCTGGGAGGCTGAGCACCCGCCTCTGACCACGCTGTCTCTGTCTCGGTCCCCAGCTGCGTGTCCTTCTCCATCTACACAGCCTGGGGTGAGCGCTGTGAGCACCTGAGCATGAAACTCAAAGCGTTCTTCGGGATCTTCTTTGGGGCCCTCAGTGCCCTCTTGCTGCTGGGGTTCGGGATGTTTGTGGTCCTGCACTTCTGGGGTTGCCCCAGGACCAGATTCTCCTACCCTCTGGACTCGGAAAGCTGAGGCCTCACCTTGAAGGGGCAGCTGTGACTAGGATACCTTAAGACCCACCCCGTCCTCACCACACACCTAAGATGCATTGCTTTTGGGAGACTGGAAAAGGGAAGGTGACTGAAGACTACTGGGATTCTTCAAGGAGAATGAATACTGGGAATCAAGACAAGACTACGCCTTGTGGGTAGGCGCAGGGACACATGGGGAGGCCATAAGGATCCAGTGGCATGGATGGGTCCTCACACAGACACACCCACAGCCACAGGACACTGGCCTGTGCACGCACGCACACATGCACAGATACGCACACGTACACACACATGCATGTGCACATGCACACACATACATGCAGGCACACACATACGCATGCACACACATGTGCGCATGCAGACACGCGCACGCACATACGCATACATGCACACACGCCAGATTTCATCATGCAGGGATAGCTCTAAGTTAACCAGAATGCTTCCGCACATAAAATTCTCTGGTTTACTTCTAATTAAAGTCTATTTAAATGAAGTCCCTCTGTCTTTTTTTTGTGTTCAGAAGCAGGGATTCTATTCCTGATTTTCTTCTGGTGGCCAAAGGGCTGGGCACAGGCTTCTCCCAACAGAGGGTGCAGGGTGTGGAGGTGGTGTGTTGGGCAGGTGGTAGAGTAGTAGGGGCAGCTGGTCCAGCCCTGGTCAGCCCTTGGTTAGCCATGTTGGAAATCCTCCATTGCTCCCCCAACCTTGCTTCATGCTCCACATCATCTGCTTCTTCCCCCACCCAACACAGGCCAAAGTTTCACCCTCTAAGGAGGACAGAGATACCCCAAGAGGGAGTGCCCCAGACTGTCTCTCCCAGGACCCCTCCCCGCCTGCTTGTCTATCAATTTCACAAAGTTGTAAAAGGATAAATGCAGTTTTCCTGTCTGGTGGCTGTCCCCACGCCTGTCTTTCATGGAAGAGGGATTAAACCATTTTGGCTCCCTTTCCAGGAACCAACTCAAGAAACGTGCCACCCACCCACCCTTAGATCTGGAGGACCTGATCCCTAATATGCCTTCTCCGTCCTTTCCGGGACCCCAGATGGAGTGTTCTGAGGTTCTCCATTCCACAGCCCCTCAGCCCTACCCTGCCTCTACTAGTCCCCAGCAACCTGATCAGCTCCCGCATGATCCTCTCAGCAGGCAGGACTTCTACACCTATCTGGTGTAACAACTCCAACACAATTGGTCCACACTTCCTGCAAAACCTCATTCCAACTTCATGCAGAAACTAGGTAGCTGCCTCTTAGTTCTAAATCCCAAATCCCTGAAGACAGAATCTGATTGGTCCCATTTACATCAGTTGTTTATGCCTGGTCCAATAAAATGCAATCATGGGGTGAGAAAGGAGGTCACGTGGTGCAAAGTCAGTGTTCAAGCTTACTCTTGTGGGTGGGTAAGTGGTGTGAAGGAAGCACCCAAAGAAATATGATCTTTGATTGGGTGCGGTGGCTCACGCCTGTAATTCCAACACTTTGGAAGGCCAAGGCAGGCGGACCACTTGAGGCCAGGAGTTTGAGACCAGCCTGGCCAACATGGTGAAACCCTGTCTCTACTAAAATACAAAAATTAGCCAGGCATGGTGGTGCACACCTGTAATCCCAGCTACTCAGGAGGCAGAGGCAGGAGGATCTCTTGAATCTGGGAGGTAGAGGTTGCAGTGAGCTAAGATCACGCCACTGCACTCCAGCCTGGGCGGCAGAGCAAGCCTCTCTCTCTCTCTCTTTATATGTATATATATACGGCCTTTGTATTAGGGTTCTCCAGAGGGACAGGACTAATAGATGTGTATACGAAGGGGAGTTTATTAAGGAGTATTGACTCACATGATCATATGGTGAAGTTCCACAACAGGCTGTCTGCAAGCTAAGAAGTAAGGAAGCCGGTCTGAATCCCAAGACCTCAGAAGTAGGGAAGCCGATAGTGCAGCCTTCAGTCTGTGGCCGAGGGCCCAAGGGCCCCTGGCAAACCGCAGGTGTAAGTGCAAGAGTCCCACAGCTGAAGAACCTGGAGTCTGATGTTTGAGGGCAGGAAGCACCCAGCCTGGGAGGATGATGAGGCTGGAAGACTCAGCAAGAGGAACTCCTTCCATGTTCCTCTGCCTGCCTTACTCGAGGTATGCTGGCAACTGATTAGATTGTGGCTACCCAGATTCAGGGTGGGTCTGCCTCTCCCAGTCACTGATTCAAATATTAGCCTCCATTGGCAACAGCCTCACAGATACACCCAGGAGCAACACTTTGCCTCCTCAGTCCAATCAAGTTGACACTCACTATTAGCCATCACAGTCCTTGATCTGAGCAGACTCCAAACTGCCCACTTTATCTGGAGGAGGATTCCCCCAGTGGGCAAAGCCACCCTCTTATGTACAGAGCCGTAGCTCTACCACCATACTCCCCAAAGTGTAATGTAATGAAGTCTCCATACAAAACCACAGTCACAGCATTCATTTCTCAAGAATTAAGCACACAACACAGAGGGGTTCGCTGGTGAATTGTGCAAAATATTTAAGGAGAAAATACCTATTTTGTGCAATCTTTTCCAGAAGACAGAAGCAGGACTACCCCCTAAGTCATTGGTCAGTGTCACCCTAATACCGAAACCAAAGACGTTACCAGAAGACTATAGACCAGTATCTGTCACGAAGATGCAAAAATTAGCAACAAATATTAGCAAATCAAGTTCAACAATATATAAAAAGAATTATAGGCCATGACGGCCGGGCGTGGTGGCTCACACCTGTAATCCCAGCACTTTGGGAGGCCGAGGTGGGCAGATCATGAGGTCAGGAGATTGAGACCATCCTGGCCAACATGGTGAAAAATACAAAATTATCTGGGTGTGCTGTGGCATGCCTGTAGTCTCAGCTACTCGGGAGGCTGAGGCAGGAGAATCGCTTGAACTCGGGAGGCAGAGGTTGCAGTGAGCTGATATCGCGCCACTGCACTCCAGCCTGGCAACAGAGCGCGACATTGTCTCAAAAAAAATGAAAGAATTATAGGCCATTACCAAGAGGGATTTATCCCAGGTGTGCAAGACTGGTTCAATATTCAAAAATCAGCTAATACATCAACAGGCAAGAAGGAAAATGGCATGATCATATCAGTACATGCAGGAAAAGCGTTTGACAAAATCCAGCCCCTGTTCATGATAAAAACTCTCAGTAAGTTAGAAATAAGAACTTCCTCAACTTGATAAAGAATATCTACAAAAACCTACAGCGGACATCATCCTTAACGGTGAGAAACGAGATGCTTTCCCCTAAGATTAGGAACAAGGCGAGGACGCCCCCTCTCACTATCGGTTTTCAACATCATACAGAGGTCTTGGCCAATGCAACAAGGCGAAACAGGGAGATAAAAGGCGTATAGAATAAAAAGGACGGAATAAAACTGTTTTTGTTCACAGGTGTCAAATCATCTATGTAAAAGAATCTAAGAGTTGACGAAAGGAAAAAACCCTGGAACAAAGAAGCAATTTCAGCCAAGTTTCGTGACGTAAGGACAGTGTCCCAAAGTTAACAGATTTCTTGTGTGCCAGCAAAGAATAGTGGAATTTAGAATTTAAAACATTTGAGCAAGATGGAAACAAAAAACGAAAAAATAACAATAAAATGTAAACTACATTACCATTTACATTAGCATCCCCCAAAATGAAATACTGAGACATAAATGTAAGAAAATATGTACAAGATCCTATGTGAGGAAAACTATAAAACTCCGACGAAAGGTTCAAGGATGAACTTCATAAATGGGAAGATATTCTATGTTCATGAATAGGAAGACTCGAAGTTTTTTTTTTTCATTAGAGACAGAGCCTCCCTCCGTCACCCAGGCTGGAGCGCAGTGGCATCATCTCAGCTCACTGCAACCTCCGCCTCCCATGTTCAAGTGATTCTCCTGCCTCAGCCTCCCGAGTAGCTGGGATTACAGGCGCCCACCATCACACCTGGCTAATTGTTTTGTATTTTCAGTAGAGACGGGGTCTTGACGTTTTGGCCAGGCTGGTCTCAAACTCCTGACCTCAGGTGATCCAACCGCCTCTGCCTCCCTAAGTGTTGGGATTACAGGTATGAGCCACTGCACCAGGCCAAAAGACTGAATATTATCAAGATAGCAGTTCTCAATATTAAGATAGCAGCAGATCCAGATAGCTAACTCGATCTACAGATTCTATGTAATAACCAATCTTCATCAAAATCCCAGCAAGTCATTTGTGGCTATTAGTAACCTGGGTCTAAATTTACGTGGAGAGGTAAAAGATCCAAAACGGTCAACTCAATATTGATGGGGAACAGTCACAGGACTAGTTCCGCCTGACTTCGAGGCTGACTCTAAAGCGTAATAATGAAAACAGCATGATACTGGCAAAAGAATAGACAAATAGATCAACGGAACAGGATAGAGAGCCCAGGGTATAAAGTGATATTTCTAATAGACCTGTATAAATGTGTCAACTGATCGTTGACGAAGGAGCAGAGGCCACACAACAGAGCGCAGATCGTGTTTCCCAGAAATAGACGCTGGGACAACTGGACATCCACACACGGAAAAAAAATTAGACACAGACCTTACACGTTTCATAAAAACGCAAAATGAATCATAAACCTCAGTAAAATGCAAAACTGTAAGACTCCAAAAAGACAACAGGAGAAAACCTAAATGACCTTGGGTTTGGTGACGGCTTTTTAGATACAATACCCAGGGAATGATCCCTGAAGGAAATAACTGATGAGCCGAACTTCATTAACATTAAAAACTTCTCTGTGAAACGCAACAGCTAGAGAAAGAAAGGAGTAGTTGCAGACGGGAGAAAATGTTTGCAAAAGTCACGTCTGATAAAAGACTGTTATCTAAAATATACAAAGAGCTGGGTGCAATGACTCACACCTGAAATCCCAGCACTTTGGGAGGCCAAGCGGGTGGATCAGTTGAGGTCAGGAGTTCAAGACCAGCCTGGACAACACGGTGAACCCCCGTGTCAACTAAAAACACAAAAATTAGCTGGGCGTGGTGGCACACGCCTATAATCCCAGCTACTTGGGAGGCTGAGGCAGGCGAATTGTTTGAATCCAGGCGGTGGAGATTGCAGTGAGCTGAGAACATGCCACTGTACTCCAGCCTGGGTGACAGAGCAAGACTTTGTCTGAAATAATTAATTAATTATACAGATAACTCTTCCAATTCAACAATAAGAAAATGAACAACCCAGTTTTTTTAATGGGCAGAAAAAACACCTTGAACATACATGTCACTAAAGAAGATATTCGCATGGCACATGAGCATCTAAAAAGACAGTCAGCATCATACGTCATTAGGGAATGGCAGACAACACGCTACCAATACGCGCCTATTAGAATAACCAAAATCACCAGGCACAGTGGCTCATACCTGTGTTCCCAGCACTCTGGGAGGCTGAAGTGGGAGGATCACTTGAGCCCAGGAATTTGAGACCAGTCTGGGCAACAAAGCAAGACCCCATCTCTACAAAA